CTTCAGTAAATATTTAGTATTAAAAACTTTGATACCCTTGGAGAAATTAAGCCTTAAAATTGCTTGTAATTTCATAAAATTGAAAATATTTCAGAAACGGTAAGGTTTAAGTGTGATAAACCTTAATTAAATTTACCTTTATTTCAATCGTAGAATCCAAAAATAGAATAATATACAGGGTGTTCCATTTAAAAAAATACAACTATAATATTTTTTACTTATTTGGGACACCCTGTATCTTGTAAAAATAATTTTAAATTGTACCTCTAATAGTCCTTCAACGAACCCAAAACTTAAAATTTGTAAAAATCTAATCGTTTAGCTAGAATACACCGTGTCGTATGTGGTGAACAACCCTGTATTTTCCATTTTATTGATTTTATGGAAAGCACTGTTCATTAAAATGTTGTATCCTATGTTATAGGGCTTGTTTCTCTCTATAATTTCCTGTCTCACAATGTACCGTTTGTGTCCGGGAAGGGTTCATAGTTTCATAGTTGTCGATTTTCGAAAGAAATCAGTACGTGTATATTATTTCCTATATTTTTCATTTTATTGATTTTATGGAAAGCACTGTTCATTAAAATGTTGTATCCTATGTTATAGGGCTTGTTTCTATAATTTCCTGTCTCACAATGTACCGTTTGTGTCCGGGAAGGGTTCATAGTTTCATAGTTGTCGATTTTCGAAAGAAATCAGTACATGTATATTATTTCCTATATTTTTCATTTTATTGATTTTATGGAAAGCACTGTTCATTAAAATGTTGTATCCTATGTTATAGGGCTTGTTTCTCTCTACAATTTCCTGTCTCACAATGTACCGTTTGTGTCCGGGAAGGGTTCATAGTTTCATAGTTGTCGATTTTCGAAAGAAATCAGTACATGTATATTATTACATATATTTTTCATTTTATTGATTTTATGGAAAGCACTGTTCATTAAAATGTTGTATCCTATGTTATAGGGCTCGTTTCTCTCTACAATTTCCTGTCTCACAATGTACCGTTTGTGTCCGGGAAGGGTTCATAGTTTCATAGTTGTCGATTTTCGAAAGAAATCAGTACATGTATATTATTACATATATTTTTCATTTTATTGATTTTATGGAAAGCACTGTTCATTAAAATGTTGTATCCTATGTTATAGGGCTCGTTTCTCTCTACAATTTCCTGTCTCACAATGTACCGTTTGTGTCCGGGAAGGGTTCATAGTTTCATAGTTGTCGATTTTCGAAAGAAATCAGTACAAGTATATTATTTCCTATATTTTTCATTTTATTGATTTTATGGAAAGCACTGTTCATTAAAATGTTGTATCCTATGTTATAGGGCTCGTTTCTCTCTACAATTTCCTGTCTCACAATGTACCGTTTGTGTCCGGGAAGGGTTCATAGTTTCATAGTTGTCGATTTTCGAAAGAAATCAGTACAAGTATATTATTTCCTATATTTTTCATTTTATTGATTTTATGGAAAGCACTGTTCATTAAAATGTTGTATCCTATGTTATAGGGCTCGTTTCTCTCTACAATTTCCTGTCTCACAATGTACCGTTTGTGTCCGGGAAGGGTTCATAGTTTCATAGTTGTCGATTTTCGAAAGAAATCAGTATAAGTATATTATTTCGTATATTTTTCATTTTATTGATTTTATGGAAAGCACTGTTCATTAAAATGTTGTATCCTATGTTATAGGGCTTGTTTCTATAATTTCCTGTCTCACAATGTACCGTTTGTGTCCCGGAAGGGTTCATAGTTTCATAGTTGTCGATTTTCGAAAGAAATCAGTACATGTATATTATTTCGTATATTTTTCATTTTATTGATTATATTGAAAGCACTGTTCATTAAAATGTTGTATCCTATGTTATAGGGCTTGTTTCTCTCTACAATTTCCTGTCTCACAATGTACCGTTTGTGTCCGGGAAGGGTTCATAGTTTCATAGTTATCGATTTTCGAAAGAAATCAGTACATGTATATTATTTCCTATATTTTTCATTTTATTGATTTTATGGAAAGCACTGTTCATTAAAATGTTGTATCCTATGTTATAGGGCTCGTTTCTCTCTACAATTTCCTGTCTCACAATGTACCGTTTGTGTCCGGAAAGGGTTCATAGTTTCATAGTTGTCGATTTTCGAAAGAAATCAGTACATGTATATTATTTCCTATATTTTTCATTTTATTGATTTTATGGAAAGCACTGTTCATTAAAATGTTGTATCCTATGTTATAGGGCTTGTTTCTCTCTACAATTTCCTGTCTCACAATGTACCGTTTGTGTCCGGGAAGGGTTCATAGTTTCATAGTTGTCGATTTTCGAAAGAAATCAGTACATGTATAATATTATTTCCTATGTTTTTCATTTTATTGATTTTATTGAAAGCACTGTTTATTAAAATGTCGTATCCTATGTTATAGGGCTTGTTTCTCTCCACAATTTGTAGAGATACATACCCTGTATTATATTATTTCTTTATATTATTGAAATCGGGATAAAATGCATTAAAAAAACTCTTCGATTGTGTGTATAGTATAGTTTTTATTAATTGTGTTTCATAAGACGACTAGATCTAACATACTTATAAATAACGAATACGTGTATACAGGGTCCAGCAATAGTGTGTCGGGCATCTGTAGCTCCTAGAATAAAAAACTTGAGAATTTTGTTTAAGTGCAAACCTAAAGTATGTACCAGGATGTATTTCAGGAAAATATTTTAACTTCTATAGGGTGGCTCAAAAAAGTGTGAGTGGATTTGGATGATTTTTTTAATGGAACACCCTGTATATTATTGCATTTTTGGCTTCTTTTCAGATCACTTTACATAGTTCTAAGATATGAGTAAAAATATTTCGATAGTTTCAGAGATATTAATAAATAAATAAAATATATATATTTTTCAATCTTTCTTAAAAAAAAATATTAAAAATACAAGAACTGTCATGAAATCAAAACTATATTAAACTATAGATGGTCCATACTTAGTTTGCTATAAATATTGTAATCTCAAATCATACAGGGTGTTCAAAATTCTACGCCAATCTTTCTAAAATATAATATAATTTTTCTTCGTTTTTTTTTTAAATGGAACACACTACATTATTTTTTCAATGATAATTTTTCCACGGTTTTGCAGATATTCGCTGTTTTATATTTCATATGGCATTTTCCACAGTAAATTTTTATCAAAACTACCCAGTGATTTTTTTTCTTATTTTATCGTTGTTTGTATCAGCGAAACCATTAAAAATTTTGAAATACTTTAAATACAAAAATGTTAGTTTTTTAAATCTCCATCTAATAAAAATAATAATAGAGGGTTGTTCACTACATACGACACGGAGTATTGTAGCTAAACGATGAGATTTTTACAAATTGTAAGTTTTGGGTTCGATAAAGGACTATTAGAGGTACAATTTAAAAATAATTTTACAAGATACAGAGTGTCCCAAATAAGTAAAAAATATCAAAGTTGTATTTTTTTAAATGGAACACCTTGTATATTATTACATTTTTAGTTTCTACGATTAAAATAAAGGTAAATTTGATTAAGATTTATTATACTTAAAACTTACCGTTTTTGAAATATTTTTAATTTTGTGAAATTGCAGTAAACATTTTAAGGCTTCATTTCTCCAAGGGTATTAAAGTTTTTAATACTAAATATTTACTGAAGTTTATTTACTGATCAGTTATTGTGTTGCAATAATAAAAATAATACTACCTTATACAGAGTGTCTAAAAATTTATTTTAAATAATTATTAGCTTCAAACGGCAATAACTTGTTTAATTTAAATGGAACACCCTGTATATTTTACGAGAATCAGATGCACAATTTAATTGTCTATCAAATTATATTATGACATTTTTTACCTATCTCTTTAAGTTTCCGTAGAAAATGGATTTTCTTGTAATTTAGAACTTATTTATCAATATACCCATGGACTATTGACATTTTAGATTATTTTTAAAGATGTACCAAATTTTTAAAGAGTACAGATACTAATATTGTCGATATAATTCGTATATTATTTCATTAAAAAATAAAAAAAAACTGTTCAAATATTTGTTAAAGAGGACCAATTAATATGATCCAGTATTCAAACTACATTAACTGACTGTTTGCATTGATTAATAATAATTGCTCCAAATACTAAAAAACTGAATTTTGTATGGGCATTAGACAGTGTGATAAAAAGTAACACCTTAAAAATGATATTTCATTTTTTAATAAATGCTTATTTATAACAACAAAGACTTTAATTTGATAACTTATTATTATATTGATTTCTGACTCAAAAATCCACATTTATTTATAATAATTTATTAACGAACACAATTAAGTATGTCATTAATTAGTATATGGGCGGAAATAATGGTGTTATATTTAATTAATGGTATACTCTTTTATAAAGATTTAAATAGTTTTCTTTTTGCATACAAATGGGCTAGTAATATTATCATTTTTAGCAAAACGTAACAAAAGTCTGTACATTTTGTACATTTGTTGCTTTAAAAACAATCTAAAATGTCAATATTCCATGGATATATTGATAAATGAGGTCTAAATTATAAGAAAATGCATTTTCTACGAAAACTTGAAGGGATAGGTAAAAAATGGTATAATACAATTTGATAGACAATTTAATTGTGCATCTGATTCTCCTAAAATATACAGGGCATTCCATTTAAGTTCTAATAGTCCTTCAACGAACCCCAAACTTAAAATTTGTAAAAATCTCATCGTTTAGCTACAATACTCCGTGTCGTATGTGGTGAACAACCCTGTATATTGGGTGCTTCATTAAAAACAAAACAAGAAAAATTATTTTATATTTTAGAAAGTTTAGCGTAGAATTTTGAACACTCTGTACGATTTAAGATTACGATATTTACAGCAAATTAAGTATAGACCATCTAAATTAACTATATTTACTCATATCTTGAGTAATTATATTTACTCATATCTTAGTATTATGTAAAGTGATCTGAAAGGAAACCAAAAATGCAATAATATACAGGGTGTTCCAATAAAAAATATATACTTTAGGTATACATTTAAACAAAATTGTCAAGTTTATTTATTTTAGAAGCTATTAGACGCTGTCTAATTTTATTTTAGGATCATTGCGCAGCTTTTCGACGCTCCCACGCGATCTGCATCGACCAAATGCTCAAAGGCCTCATATATCCGATCGACCTGTAATACTTTTCGGCGTACAATGCCTCGGGAGTGTCGAAAATCAGCCCGAACTTTTCCGTCATCGACTTGAACATGCCCTCGGCTGTTTTAAAGCCTTCTTCGACCAATCCCTCCTGGATCATCGTAGCGGCCAGTGCGTACGTCACTCCCGTCCACACTTCCTGGCTCTGGATGGCCACCTTGTCGATCTGGCCGGTGCGGAACCCGTTGACAGCGCCCATGTTGCCGTCGCAGAAGCACAACACGTTGTTCTCATAGATCGCTCTCAGGGAACTGCGTACTTTCTCCTTAGGCAAAATGGGATAAAGTTGGGCAAAACCGGAACAGCTTAGGTACCAGTGGCCGTTCAATTGGTCGGCCATGACGGTGTTGCTGTGGGTGGTGGAGCAGTCGAAGTTGTAGTAGGAACCGTTCCAGAGTTTGGTGTCGAAGGCTTTGCACGCGCTGGCTAGGAGGTTTTGGTAGGTTTTTTCGTCCGTTAGCTTGTTCAAAGCTTTGGAAAAAACCGTCATGGCGAACAGGGCGGCCAGCCAAATACCCCCACAATACGCACTGTAAAAACAAAGTTACTGTAAGAAAATCTACAAAATAAATAGCACTAAACCAATGAACAGAGGACAACAACAAACAAAAAACGTAATATACAAAATACAAAATCAAAATACCAAGCGAATGTGATAAATTTTATACTAAGGTTAGTCTTGGGTCGAGATTTCCGTATGTAAGAAGAGTAAAATGCGTTTATAATGTACTGAACAAAGAGAGGACAGTAAACACGTTGCCAAACGTATGAAATAAACCGAGAAACTGTGCACATCGCTAAGAGACGTGGAAGGGGATATAGCAGATTTGTCGCAGTTGACCGGTCGACCCAATCAATACCTCTGTCAGTACTTAAAGTTCTAGGGAAAGGTGTACGTCATGCGTTCAGCTTCACGATTTAATTACGTTTCGTGATACTTAATTTGTTTATTTATTAACGAGTCGTTGTAATTTTCCATATATCTTGAATATTTTTAAGTGCAAGCTAGAAACACTTGCATTTTTGTTAAAAATAAGTGGAATTGAGTGGGTGTTCGATAGTGGTCACGCTATTAGAACTCTGAATTCAAAAATCGATATCTCGAAATCTATTAGAAATAATAGATTGTAGTTTTTTCAAGAACTTTGTTAATATTTCTGCTGTATTTTCTTTGTAGGCAGTATGTGAAAATCTTTATCAATAAAAAAATTACACGATTGTTGAACATTGCTATGCTCTAAAAGTAAATGGATGGATTGTTTACAATTTTTGAATGGAAAAAACAACCTTATCGAATTTTTCTTATGTAAACATATTGTAAAATATCCGATCTTGAAAATAAAAAAAAGTTTCAATATCTAAAGTGGTTCTTGAGTTATGGCCTGTTATGTTTTAAAAAGTTAAGTTGTTAAATTATCGCGATTACTGACGTTTTCTCGTTATAAAAAAAATTACACCCTAACGATATCCTTATAATTCCATTCATGATTTTATCTAGTTATCTCTTGGAAAAAAAGTCTTAAAAATAAGCGGTTTGCGATCGTGATTTTACTTTACTTGGTAGGGAAAGGCGTATCGGCAACGCCGCAACAGCACACCGTCGCGTCTGTCGGTCGCATTTCTCTCACTCCGGCTTAATAAGATCCCTATGCGATTTACTTCCACACATGTAAATGCCGACCCAAAAGTAACAGTTGCCAGCACAGTATGTATAAAAAATTATATAAGTTATATATATATTTTAAATAGTGTTTTCTTTGTTCTTTGTCGTTTTTTTTTGCAAAAATAACTATTTTATTTTGTAGATTTTCTTACAGTTGCGAAATACCCATACATATACCCACAGAGGGCATGGCACAGCACATTCATGCATTTATTTTGAAAAAATCATTAATTTTTAATAGTCTTTGTAATGTTAATAAATAAATAAATAATAAGTAAATGCCTTTACTGTCAAAAAAATTTACAATTTGTAGACAAAGGTAAAGTAAACAAACAAAGTAAACAAGCAAGGTACACAAACAAACAAACAAAAGATAATACAAAACATTATACAAATAATATTGTCAGTTTTACTGTTTAAAATAAACATTTATATAAATATTTACAATGTCAAAGAATAAAAAAAATTAAAATAATATTCAAAAATATTTTAGACCTCTAAATGAATTTATTTCGGTGTCATTGGTAAATATAGCAATAGCAAACATTAGACCAGTGTTTACAAGATCAAATTCTTGTCTAGTAAATAACAGTTCAATGCTTTGCGAAATGAAGAAAATGATGTTATGGATTTGATTTCAAATGGCAGGTGATTGTGCTTTTTTTTCGAGTTGTATAATATTGAACTTTTAACTAACTCTGAGCGTGGGGTAGGTAGATAAAGATCTTGTTCCTAAGTGGATAAGTGTGAGATGGCCTTTCTTGAGAAGCTGATACATGCTTACGTATTAGGCAAACGGATTCAAATATAAATAAGAAAGGAAGAGTTAATATTTTTAATTTTTTAAAAAAGTCCTGGCAATGAGTTCTGCTGTTTAGTCCCAGTGAATATCGAACAGCTCTCTTCTGGAGCTTGAAAATGCGGTCAAATTGAGTCGCACAACACGTACCGCAGAATGGAAGGGCATACCTGAGGTGCGACTCAAAAAGTGCATAATAAACAATTCTAGCCACTGACAAGTTAAGCTCCTTAGAAACAGATCTTAATGCAAAACAAGCAGAGGTCGATTTTTTCGACAAAGCTTCGATATGCATGTCCCATTTTAGAGAATTGTCCACAACAAGCCCTAAGAATTTTACAGATTTTACGACGTCAATGGTGGTGTTGTTAAGTACAAAAGGCTGCAGCGAGTTTTTATACGACAAAGCTTCAGTTTTAGAAATGTTAAGACTCAGGAGGTTCGAATCGCACCAAGATTTAATGGTGATTAAGTCGTTTGATATAATCCTATGAAGTGCCGTGACGTCCTTGTTGCTCCAAGTGAAGCTAGTGTCGTCGGCAAAAAGACATATTTTGCCACTGATGTTTATGTTAGCAATGTCGTTAATAAAAAGAAGAAACAAAATGGGGCCTAGTACTGAGCCTTGTGGTACTCCACATTCTATTGGCTTGCTAGAAGACAACGTGGTATCCACCCTCACAAGTTGACTTCTGTTGCTCAGATACGACTTAAACCATTCGAGAGATGGTCCCCTGAACCCATAGTGCTGCAGTTTATTAATTAGGATCTTATGATTTACACAGTCGAACGCCTTAGAAAAATCACAGAAAATTGTTGCTGTAGAGTGATGGTTGTTTAGGCTGGAGTAAACTTTATTAAGGAGGGAAAACATAGCGTCATTTGTGGACTTGTTGCTTAGAAATCCAAACTGATGTTCAGTAAGAACTCTTTGTAAGCTACATACAGGGTAATCAATATTAGATGTTGTATTTTCAGTATTTTCACTGTTGCAAATGGAACACTCCGTGTTTTTGTATTAATAGTGTCTTGACTCATAGAACACTCCTGATTTTTTTTTATTATACGAATTATTTATTATAATATAATAATGAATTTTACAACAAGGTATTCCCTAAGTAGTTTTTAAGAAAAAAGTTCTTATAAACATGGGGTCTAGAGCACTTCCTTTTTGATATACGAGGTGTTCAAAATTTAAAAAGATATCTAATTTCTTGCAATATGTTTGAAACTAATTTAGATATTTTTTTCGATTTTGGTGTGTGATTTCCAGGTTTAAAGGAGGTTTATTTCCTTTAACTGTTGTTTTCCTAAATAAAAAAAAATAAATAGTACGCCACTATTTTTTCGAGAAAATATTTGTTTTATTCTTGATTTTTATCATCCAGGGGGGGGGGGTTAGTACCCCAGAATGGAAGGGCATAACGAAGATGCGACTCAAAAAGGGCATAATAGACCATTCTAGAGGTTGATGAGTTCCCAAGTAGCATTTGGACGTTATCTAACGTCGGGTATACGTCGCGTTCAATAAACCCGACGTCGGGTACCAACGTCGGTTCGACCGCCTGACGACCCTTATTTGCACCTAAATGGGGAATACAGATTCGGGTCGCCTCGACGTCGGTATCTGACCTAATAGGAAATGTAATTCTACCAATTACCAACGTCATATTACGTTGGATTTTAGTCACTTAAAATTCGTCGCTAAGCACTTAGTTACGTTTGGTTTCATATTCGCTACCAAGAATACATAAAAACCTAACCAAACTACCTAATTACAAATGGATTCATAATCACTCCTCGAATATAACTATAAGTGCCTATCTAATTTCATATTATAATAATTCTGAATCATTAATCCAGACATCAGTTTTGTCAACGGAAGTCACTTTTTTGATATATCTGATTAAAATACTCCGGAAAACAACGAGCGCCTTCAAAATTAGGTAGATTTATGAAATAAAAATATCTATATAAAAGTTACTCGCAAAATATGTTTTTAATTTTCTAGCTGGTTTAATCATAAAACTGTACTGTAGTTCCCCCCAAACTCAACCTTATCAATATTATTCTACTAGAAATCGAAATGTGAATATAAATTTTAAAAACAAAAACGATTTTAAAATGGCTGACAATCGGATACGTGTTAAGAATGGCGGATTTCTGTGTCCGACTTAACACAAGAAACAAAATAGGGCCAAGTACTGAACCCTGAGGGACACCACATTCTATAGGCTTACAAGAAGACATAGACGTATCAATTCTCACAAGCTGCCTTCTGTTACTTGAGCCGTTCGAGCGGCACTCCCCTGAATCCATAGTATTGCAATTTGTTAATTATGATATTATGATTTACACAGTCGAAAGAGTCTTAGAGAAATCACAGAAAATTGTAGCTGTAGAGTGACGGTTATTCAGGCTAGAGTATACATTATTAAAAAGGTCGAACATAGCATCATTTGTGCAACTGTTACTTAGAAATCCAAATAGAGAGAAAGAGATAGAAGCCTTCTTTTAACCAATCTTTCAATGATCTTAGATAACGTGTGCAGGAGAGCAATTGGGCGATAATTCCAAGCTTGATCTTTATCTCCTCCTTTATGCAGAGGAATAATTATTGCTGTCTTAAGGCAGTTTGGAAAAACTCGTACATAGTAAGATAGATTAACGTGCATTCCGGAAGTTCAGAGAACATTTTGAGAGTGAGCCCATCAGTCCCAGATGAGGATTTATTTTTAATACTTTTAATTGTACTACGGAGCTGATCTAATGTTACGAGCGTGAAGAAGAAACTGTGTAAATTCTCATTTGCGTTAGGGTGTATATATTTATTAATTAAATTATTTGTAGGAAAAAGATACATGGTACATACTAATTACCAATAAGTTAATAACAATTTCTGTTTCCCTTTTAAGAAAGGGTATTGAATGTTAGAAATTAAATTTAAGTTCTATAAACCGCCTGTAAATAAACAACATCTATTTTCGGAAAACCGTACTTTCTTATAAGAATAAATCTAATCTAGGTACCTACTTGGCTTTGACAAACCATTACCTACCTTTTGTGAAAATTTTATTGGGGTGTACCAAAGATGGAATTTTGCGGCCTTACTGTTTTTGTTGCCGTTACAATTTTATACGGTTTTGTTTTAAATTTTGGTTGCTATAATGTAAACGGACATCTTTTGACATACATTTAATTAATGTTCTTATTACATGAATTTTATGACTTTCTCACAACAAAATACAATACAATGCGACAAAAGATGTAAGTTTTATTATTATTTTATTTTAATTTATTAAACAATTATTTTAGTATCTCCCGAGTTTAAATATCTTTGGGTAAAGTGTTTTATTTTCCAAGCGTATAAAGTGTCCAAAAATAATAAAAAAAACTTACCTAGCACCTTTCATCACCCAAATGTCGTAAGTCTGATCGGGCTCACCCGAATTCTCGATCAATCCATCACCATCACCATCATTCTGAAGCTCCTTCTTCATAACAACGTCGCACGCCTCGTACATATCCTCCAAAAACCGCAAATCGGTACTGCCCGACACAGTGGCGTCCCTCAGCGTTTGCAGCACGAACTTCGGGCTCAAATCCCGCCAATTACTGACATCGTGAATGGGATAGGCGTTGATCAAGTCGAAGGGGGCCTCGCCAGGGTCCCCCGCGTCGTGCGGTACCGTTTTGGGGTACTTCCTTTCGCACGGTACTCCGTTGAAGAGCTGCGTGACTTTGGTGGATATTTCGGTGAAGACGAAGTCTTTCAGGTCGTACTGGAGGCTTTTTTGGAGGTGGGGCCAGTTGTGGCTCAGGGCGTGCGATGCGTAGAAATGGACGTCGTACGAGTTGTACATGCGGTACTCGTGGCCTTCTAGATACGCGAAACGGCCGTATTTCTTCCTAGATTATCATTATTATTATTACAATTTTTTTCACCTTTGTATTACAAACCTAAACATTTTAATATACCAAGTAGGGAATGCAATGATCCCTCTGTGATTCCGCGGGATCAAATTTGCGGGATTTACCGTGCGGGATCGACACCAGGGGATTCCCCTTACGGCTTGGCCATTAAAAATAAGTGAAACAAACAGGTTGGTTATTAGATTTCTTTCTGGCGCACATAGGTCATTTTCGCCAATTTAAGCGGTAATAAATAATGCTTATAAAATTTAAATTATTTTTTAAAACAAATTTCGTCAAAAAACTGCCGGACATAATTATCGGGACAAGCAAAATTTTATTTAAAGTTGAATATCTCTTGAACTAAAAAAGATTTTGGGATGCGGTTTGGACCAGGTTTTAGATGCATCTATTGTGATTATTGTGATACTATGTGATTTTCGAAAATATATTTAGCGAATTCTCGTATACAGGGTGTTTTATAAAAGTGTGAAAATTTGGTCAAGAATCTTTTATACCGCAAATTTACAGTTTTTAAAAAATCGAAACCATTTTACCAAGCACGACTAATTTGTATTTTTGTTATTTTTGAAATTAGAAAAAAACAATTTGATCGTTTTTTTATTTTTTTTTGTTTTAAGGAAAATACGACGTTTTTTCGAAAAATATGCATTTTTAGTCATACAATGGTCCTAAATGGTACAAAAACCTTTGTACGTTCTGCATATGTCAAAAAATTATTGATACAGAGTGTATCTAAAAGCAGATAACTAACACAAATTGAAAAAAAAACCTTCAACATCAGAATAATATTTGTATTTATAAAATAAGTAGATAAATTATAAATAAATTTAAGTTTATTTAATATTAAATATATTTTTTGAACACCCTGTATACATCGGTCCAAATTTCTGTTCAGCTAGTTAAAGATACACGCTATATCGGTGAAGTATGACACAAATGTATGACTATAAATGCACATTTTTCGAAAAAATTTTCCTTAAAACAAAAAATTAAAAGAAAAGACCAAATTGTTTTTTCTAATTTCAATACAGATTAGTAGTACATAGTTAAAATTTCGATTTTTCAAAAATTGTAAATTTTCGGTAGAAAAAAATTTTTACCAAATTTGTACACTATTATAAAACACTCTGTATACGAGAATTCGCTAAATATATTTTCGAAAACCACATAGCATCTTAATCACAATAGATGCGTCTAAAACCTGGTCCAAACCGCATCCCAAAAAATGAGAGAGATAAGAAGAGCATTTATTGTTTACAATCCCGCAATTTTGCAGATCCGCGGGATTGATTGCTTTAATCCAGCGAGTTTGCGGGATTGAGATTTTGGTGCGGGATTGCATTCCCTAATACCAAGTATCTCAGCATCTGCTAGGTGATTCTCTAAAAATAATTCTGTAGGTACTGAGATATATGGTTGTCAACCAGAAGAACGGCGGGTGACGTCACAGCGGCAAGGCGCGGTAGAGAGCGTTTGCCCGGCCATTTAAATTAACAATATTTAATTATTTTATATTAGAGGCATTTCTTAACCGATTTCAACGATTTTTTTTTGTTCAATTTGTTATTATATGAACTATTTTTTAAAACCATTATTTAAAAACATGCATTTTCCTCGTTGACCGGTCCACCCAATACCCAATCAATACCTCTGTCAGTACTTAAAGTTCTAGGGAAAGGTGTACGTCATGCGTTCAGCTTCACGATTTAATTACGTCTCGTGATATGTTTATTTATTAACGAGTCATTGTAATTTTCCCTATAGCTTGAATTTTTTTAAGTGCAAGCTAGAAACACTTGCATTTTTGGTAAAAATAAGTGGAATTGAGTGGGTGTTCGATAGTGGTCGCGCTATGAGAACTCTGAATTCAAAAATCGATATCTCGAAATCTATTTGAAATAATAGATTGTAGTTTTTTCAAGAACTTTGTTAATATTTCTGCTGTATTTCTTTGAATCTCTTGAAAAAAAAGTCTTTTAAAAATAAGCGGTTTGCGATCGTGATTTTACTTTACTCGATAGGGAAAGGCGTATCGGCAAGGCCGCAACAGCACACCGTCGCATTTCTCTCACTCCGGCTTAATAAGATCCCTATGCGATTTACTTCCACACATGTAAATGCCGACCCAAAAGTAACAGTTGCCAGCACGGTATATTGGACTTTCTCGCACCAATGGGCCACCCTGTATACTGAGGTACATGGTATATAACGAGATACATGAGAACAACTCTATTTACAAAGTATTTCTCTATCAAAGAATATTTTTTTTACAAAAAAAACATAAAACACAGTATTTAGTATTTACTGACCTTGGATCATGGTCCTTCAATTTTTTTTTACTCTCTTCGTCCAGAGACAACCACACTGTACCTCCGTCACTGATAAAATATGATTCATTGAACAGTGCCGATTTATACCAGGAAGGTAAATCACTAAAAAATTACTATTTAAAAAAACTGGATTTTTTGAAAAAAAAAACTCTTACGGATCATCTAAAACTTCCTTTTGCCACAAATAAATTTCGTTTTCCCAATTTTCGTAGTGAGTGAACGCGTAATCAACGATCTTCAATGCGGCATTTTCTTTACCAAATTTTTCAGTATAGAACCTTCCAAAAAAAAAATATTTACTCTCTATATTAACTTATTTCTTTGCACTTACCTGTAGTATTTTTTATTGGATACCGGGTAAATTATACTGGGCATATCCCAAACCAGTACCATTTCAATATTTTCCTGTCGTCCGGATGAAATCCTGGTTTTTCCAGATACGCCAACAGCTAACTCACCGAAAATATGGGGATTGTTAGATTTTTCAACTATTTTATTGAACTGACCGTTTTTTTGAAGCTAAAATATGAAAAAAATTAATAATCTTCAAGAAATACCATATGATCGAAAAAAAAACAGCGTCAAAAACGGCTGGGGAATGGCAATCTGTTAATTTTGCCGAGGTCAATCTCTAGAGATAATTAACAATAATTATAGGGAAGATTAAAAAAGCATAGAAAGTTTGCAGACACACAAATCTATAAAGAAGATTACAGACTAAGTAAATGATATCTAGGGGTTGCCCTTGCCAAAATTATCATCGATTGTCGTTCTCCAGCCGTCTCTGACGCGTTTTTTTTTCATTAATTAGTATGTAATAATGTCATTAATTGGTAATGTAATTTAATCATACGGTATAATTATACATTAAAAATCACAAACCTGGTTCCATACACTTGAACCATCAGAATTCGGGTCAAAATTCAAACATTTCGAAATTTTCACATTTTCCGATGTTTTCACAGCCAAAGTATATGAACAGCGGTTTTTTTCCATCGTGTGGTACAAAATAACACCTTCAGTGTTCTGGTAGGAAAAAGCTTTCGAACTACTTGTAGCTAAAAAAAATGGTAATTTTTGGGAAAACTGGAAATCGTCAGATTTTCACCAAAATTGGTATACACCCTATTTTGAGGTCGTAGATTACGAATCTGAACTTTTTTCTTGGCGGTCTCTTACCGTTTTTCAGAAAAACGGAAAATTATTTCAACATCGAATTTTTCTTAATTTCTCATATTTTTAAGGTTTTCTAGCACATATCTTGTTAGGTATTCAATAAACAATGTTATTGCTATTTTCTGTTACTTTTTAACCAATTCTATGCATAATAAAGGAAAATTTGCTAAAATAAATTTGTAAACAATCTGAAAATGTTGGGTTATGTGCACAAAATATACTAACGAAAAAGAAGCCCAAGTTCCTTGTAATAAATCGGTTCCATTTTCGTAACGCCATCTCTCGACAAAGCTGACATTTACTGGTTAGCCAAAGGGGTGCGGGGCCGGGGGAATTGTAAAATACACTTTTTTTATTTTAATTATTTTTATTGGCTATTTGCAATTTTATTTTTAAAACATATTATCTGAAACAATCACATAATATGTCTTAAAAATAAAATTACAAACGGAAACAAAAGGAATTAAATAATCTGAAAATCTACAAAGTTTATTGATAAAAAGTTAGGCTATGCAAAGATTAGATGTCAAAGAATTTAGATACGTCAATTTGACTTACCTGCTTCAGTAGCGTATCGGATGTTTGTGTTAATAAATAATTATTATGACTTATCTATTTTTATTAGAATTATATATTTTATAACAATTTTAATAACTACCAACATTTATTCACAACGTAAAATAAAATAAAAATTATTGAGTCTACCCCGCGTCTACCCTACATCATAGTTTTACATTTTTTAAATAAAATTAGAACGGCACTGATAAACCGGAATTTAAGTCGGCCATATTTGAGGCCCATCGCGGTGGCCCTAAGATTTTTAATATGCTCCTTCCTTAGTCTTCTTATTCAAAGTTAACAACAAATGGTGACAGACGGCTCTGGCGGCAAGTTTGAATCGAAAGAGTAAATTGGAGTAAATCGATCAGGCAAATATTACAAAAGATACCACCAACTCATTTTTGATTATGACTTATTAATGCATCTCAATGATTAATTCTGACCTTTATATTAATATAAAATGCAAATAATCGTCATATTTTACAATAATTACACGCTTATACAACTTCATCACAACCTAAAAATGCACTTTTAATTTATTTATTTTTCAATAAATTGTGGTTCATCCGCAATTTTTTTGCTAAAAATTCTTATTTTAGTGTATGCTTTCGATAGATATATAAATAAATGCCAAATTCGGAGGGTGTTATATCTGACAAGCACCATAACAAACTATAATATAATGAAAATATAGTGAAATTATTACTTTATAGGGCCGAAATAAAGAAAAATTCAATGTTGAAATAATTTTCCGTTTTTCTGAAAAACGGTAAGAGACCGCCAAGAAAAAAGTTCAGATTCGTAATCTACGACCTCAAAATAGTGTGTATACGAATTTTGGTGAAAATCGGACGATTTCCAGTTTTCCCAATAATTACCAAAAAAATATTTATTTCCAAACACATCAGAAAAAATAAAGGAAATAAGAAACTTACAAAGTTTATCTGTCCTTTTTGTACCAGTACCGTTTTTAAAAGTGAAGGAAATTGTAACTATACGATCATCATCACAGACATTTTCAATACTCCACACAAATATAGCACAAGGCAAATTACTACACTAAAAAGATTAAATGTTTAAATTTTATTGGACTTAATATCCACTTTATTTGACCTACTGTATAGTCATGAGGTATCACAGGACTCACTTGCCTACAAATTAATCTAACTCCATATTTACCGAGATCATACTCTGTCCACGATCTTGGATATAACCCGGTATATTTACAATTTTTTCCATCAATCAAACTTTGCCACGACTTTAATGAAGATCTCCTAAAACAATTAATAATAAACAATTAACCTTTGTACTGTGAATAAATACAATTGCAAATAGATATAAAAATACCTGTAAGTAGACAAGCAACTTTGGAATATCGTCTCCTTTTCTTTGTTTTTTATTGTCACAATAAACTGATTTGCATCGACTGTGTTGTATTCACAAACTTCTGGACGGAGTTGAAACCTACAAAATTCCCCTTTGTAGCCTCTTCCTATCGTTCCCGAACCTATTCCTCCTATAGGAACACCTGTAACATTTAAATTTACCCATAACAATTCAATTTCAACATAAAACTCCTCATAAATTACCATATATTCTTTTAGCCCGTTCCATGAATATATAATCCATCACTACAGACTTCTTTTTGATCTTATAAACTATATAATACCATACATATCTAAAATTAAGGAGAATAAAACCTTATTACATAAAGGAACAATAGATTTGTGTATCTTACCTTAAAAACAAAGGTAACAGAGTCCAAATAATTCTTAGAGAAGGTCTAAAATCTTGGCTTCGGTCTTCTGGATATTCATGGTTCAGATTTACCTTAAAACCGTATTTAGGGATCGCGGTACTCTCGTTGAAACCTTCTTCTTTGCTTGCCATTGTTGGTAATTCTATAATAAGCTTAATAATTAGAAAAACATATCGTAACTTTATCTTTTATGTACAAAAATGACGTCTATATTCTATATATTATTTGAGGTTAGATTTACCCACAACCTACAGTTTGCCACCAGATGTCTCAGCTGTCTCACTCATTTCTGGAATGATTGCAGGATATTTTCGAATTATTTGCAGCAGAAAACGTTTTTTTGAGTGTAAATCGGTAATAATACAAATTCAAGGATAATTTTATAATTTCAGATTTATCTTGATATCAAAATTAAGGTAAGAAGGATAACGGAGATTGTGAAGTTAAGGTGTTATGATTATAAAACGGAATTGGAAGTAATAAATAATACCATTTATTTTTATATTTACATTAGACCTATTATAATTATTTTGTGTCATCAATATGACACATTTATTACATCCAAGTTGTTAAGTTCTAGTTATTTACAGGCAACAATAGTTTTGATTATATGTATTGAAGTACTACCATGACGAGTCTTATAGCCAGAGCTTATAGCACAATACATATCAATGAGATAGAGGCTGGTACATTCATCCTGATCTGCACTGAAAAAGTAGTGTTATAACATGGTTACAAGTTACAACCAAGAAAACTGTGTAAATAATTCACATGGGAAATTGTATTGGAATTAATTTTAAGGCAATTTGAACATAGTCAAGGTTTTTTATGAGAATATTACTTGATATTGCAGGAGATTTACAAACTCAGTCTTGGAGTCACTGATTTCTGCAGCTGGCTTGGTTCCTTTCTGTGATTCCTTTGATTGTGTTATTAGAGAATAAAGAAGATTGCTTCACTAGAGAAAATTCACACAATACCAGAGACCAATGGTCCAATATGAACGATTCAATACATAGGAATTATAGAGGGTAGAGGCGTAGGTAGAGTCATGCGACAAACTATTGTGCTCACGAAGATTAGTCCTAGGATAAAATTGTAAGCGGTAAATCATTCTGCTTTCATTTGAATTTAATCTAGTAATAAATAAAGCTACTTTTAGAAATTTCAATAATCCGCGCATTCGCCATAATCTCCGGAAGTATTTTTAATTTAAGCGGACGACATGAAGCATTGACATGCATATTGACATGAAGTTAGAAGGAAGAAGAAACCGTTTTCCTTTTGTGCCTAACCTCACTATTTCACGTGCAACGTTTCTGATGGCGTTGGCGCTCGTTTAACATTTAACGAATTTTTCACCAAACCCCAACAGAAAACGTCATGTGTAACGAATAAGTACAATTTCTAGAAAATATACTTATCAAAAACTCAAATGGATATCACGAAGAACAGATTTTACGTTGCGACAACGCGAGGAACATTACTTTGTAAGTAAGTACCTTACTCACTCAATGTATTTTAGTACGTATCTCCGTTATTTTTCCTGTTAAGCCACCGGAGATAAGCCCAAAGAAATAAAAGCATGGAACAACGACTTTGCCAGTGAAGTAACAGCGTTCAGCAATGGAAGAAATGCAGAAGAATTGCTTCTGGGTTACCAAAATGGCCAGGCAAGCATTTTCAGTATCAATAAGTGTACTTTTTCGTCTGTTGGTGGACTGGAAGGCGATGGAATCGTTACAGGTACTTCACAGAACTCAGAAAAGTACTTTTATGCATGATTTTTATTATTTTTTGTAGGCATCGGTCACATGGGAAAGAGTATCATTGTTTCCAAGAAGGATGGGATTGTAAACACATGGAAGAAAAAGAAAAACGATTATTTTTCAATTAATTTAGATGAAAAAGGCACTCTGGATATCATGGTCTGTCATCCGAACAGGGAAAATGTCATAGGAACTGGTGGGGAATATAATGATTTTAAGTTGTGGGACGTTAATACACAGCAGAGCATTTTTAAGGCTAAATCGGTAAGATATTTTATCGTCTATAATAAATAATATATACATAAATAGACTATGTGTGGTTTAATTCTAGATAAGAGCTTGTGATTTGGAAAGGAACTGAGATATGGGTTAAGTGGTTTTGAAATATTAACCCAGTCTCAGTGACTTACCAACTTGCCGGCACAATCACAGCTTTTTTTATCACTTTATATCTATTTTTGTGGTTGCCTGTTAGGAACGGATAAGGAATGGGAACTTGTGATATGTGATTTTGGCATCATATCACAGCTCCTGTTACCTGATCTACTCCGAATTCATGCCTTCAGATTGTTAAGTATATTTTTTGGTAATTATTGGGAAAACTGGAAATCGTCCGATTTTCACCAAAATTGGTATACACACTATTTTGAGGTCGTAGATTACGAATCTGAACTTTTTTCTTGGCGGTCTCTTACCGTTTTTCAGAAAAACGGAAAATTATTTCAACATTGAATTTTTCTTTATTTCGGCCCTGTAAAGTAATAATTTCACTATATTTTCATTATATTATAGTTTATCTAAAAGCCACACTTGATTGGGGATAGAAAAATGTCCAAAATTTTACTGAAAAACACTTTTCTTAACAAAATATCAAAGAAAATTAAGACCAGATGGAAGTTTGACATTTGATATATCCTTCTTTCTCCCTCCTATGTAATGAGAGAGACAAATCTATTCTAGACCTAATATAGAAATTTGAAAATTTACAACGGTGCCATATCTTCTATTTTCTCGGGTGATTAGGGATTTTAAATAAATTACCTATTATGAGATCAACAATAATTAAATATACCTACCTATATCCACACAGTTACGCGGAAGAGTTTTGATTGCATTGGTGTCAACTTCTATGCGGAGGGTGTTAATCTTTTTCTGATATTTTTTGATATAATAATAAAAGATTAACACCCTCTGCATGGAAGTTGTAACCAATGCAATCAAAACTCTTTCATGCAACTTCGTGGTTATAAATAGGGGAAGGAGCTGTTCTTCTGGCGACCGCCTTTCCCAGAATGAGCGAAAAAAAACGCTAAATTTAGGTTTAGCATTGGCAACGTTGCTTTAAATGCCAGAAACACATAACCCAACATTTTCAGATTGTTTACAAATTTATTTTAGCAAATTTTCCTCTATTATGCATAGAATTGGTTAAAAAAGTAACAGAAAATAGCATAACATCATTGTTTATTGAATATCTAACAAAATATATGCTAGAAAACCTTAAAAATATGAGAACTTAGACAAGGAAAGAGAGGGGACAGCTAACACGCATATTCTCCAGTGAAAAATTTTTGAGACCAAAATTTGATCGGCGGCCATACATTGGTGACAAGATTTCGAGGTGACACCAAGCGAATTTTTATGTTTTTTGTGAATACTGTTTTGTTTTAAATTTATAAACTGTGTTGTTTAGTATGGTGGGATGTTCAGCGTATGGCTGCAAAGGCTGAAGCGAGAAAAAATGGTTATAAAAAATCTATATGTATAGATGTTACATAAAACCATATCGTAAAACTTAAATTTACCTGCCAAGATTTGCTGGGGGTGGACAAACTTGTGGTGGGGTACTTGTTACAATATTTTTTTAAATATCCTTTCAAAAAATTTGCTAGTTGATTTGCTAGTAGGTGTATAATAATAGTTTCAATGAGTAATTAATAAAAATTTAAAAATAAATAAATAAAATATCACAAAGCTTCTAGAATTATTTTATTTTTTTGGGGAAAATTAGGATATTCTTATGATTGAAGGTAACAAAAATATTAAAAATTACATTATTCATTGAATCCATAGGCAAGTGTGAAGGGGATTGGTTAGATTCATTATTATACCGTATGATCGAAAAAAAAAAACGGCGTCCAGTTGGCTTGTAAATGACTGTCAATAACATTCCTTTCAGTCTTTTTTTCGATGTCATTTTATATGTGGAATTATATGGGGAATGTCATCGATCGTCATTTCCAAACAAACAAGATGCCGTTGTTTGTCGATCATACGTTATATATGTATATACACGTTTAAAACATATATATTTACATTATTGTTTGTTTAATTATACATTATACACACGTTAATAAATAAATAATAGTCTTGATGATCAGTTCACTGTTACTGTTAATAAATTTTGCATTATCGGCTTAGATATTCTAATATTATAAAGATGAGACTATAAAATACAAAATTGTATATGCATTACTCAAAAATAAACGATATATTAGTTAAAGTTTTAATAATTTTTTTTATCGTCTAGGTACAAGCTAATTTCTGATGCTACGCCATTGGAGACTTTCGTGTGGTGACAAGTGGCCTCACTTTCAGCTGTCGTGTTACCTGTCCCCTCTCTTTCCTTGTCTAAGTATGAGAAATTAAGAAAAATTCGATGTTGAAATAAACTGAAAAACGGTAAGAGACCGCCAAGAAAAAAGTTCAGATTCGTAATCTACGACCTCAAAATAGTGTTGTATACGAACTTCGGTGAAAATCGGACGACTTCCAGTTTTCCCAATAATTACTGTATATTTTTTTTTATCACATATCTGTGTTATTTACCATTTTAATGTTAACTATATGAAGTTAGGTCATGATCAACTTCAACTACCCATACCAACATCAGTTAGAGGCATATGTTACTTTCCTGAAGAGCCTTATCTATCAGCATGCTGTACAAAGGAAGGCCACGTCTTTTTGTATGATGAAAAAGCCCAAAGAAAACCTGTGGTGAAGTTTGAAGAAAAATTAGCCAGCTATACCTGTATTTCTTACAGTTACAGGGATAGGTAAGTACACTAAGGTTACTGTGACACTGTTTTTTTACATTATAATTACGTTTCAGGCAGATTTTTGTTGGTACAACAAAAGGATACATGCAGTGGCTGGATTTGAGGACAAACAAATTGTTAAAAACCTATACAAATTATACAGGGAGTGTGACAAGTATTGTTTGTGATCCAGTTGAACCTTATGTTGCTACTACTAGCTTGGACAGGTACTTGAGGGTACATCATATGGAAACAAAGGAATTAGTATTTAAGGTAAATATAATTACCTTTTTTAGTAAATATAGAGGGGGTTATATTTGTATTTTTTCAGCTCTATATGAAGCAAAGTTTGGCAAAACTAATTGTTAAAGCTGTTATTAAAGATGAAGAGGATACTGAACGGAAGAAAGAAGATGTGGTTGACGAAGAGTATGAAGATTTGTTTAAAAATATGGAAGAAGTACAGAGCGATAAAAAAATAAAGAAAGGAAAGGAAAAAACGTTCAATATTCAGGAAGGTAATGTAGAAACCCCTCCAAAAAAGAAAAGGAAGTCTTCTGAAAGGGTAGAAAAAAAGAAGAAAAAAATAAAAGCGAAAAATAAATAAAAAATTATATTTTTTAATGACTTTTTTATGTATTTGTACATATAATTTAATAAAAATTCTATATTAAAAATCTATGTTGTTTTTATTATATATCTTTTTTTCATTAAAAGAATTAAAAAAATAAATAAAATAAAACTAGTTTTTGTTAAATCAATTTTATTTTTTTATTAAAACTTGTTTATATACATCTGAAATAGTAGAAAAAAAGAAGAAAAAAATAAAAGCGAAAAATAAATAAAAAATTATATTTTTTTAATGACTTTTTTATGTATTTGTACATATAATTTAATAAAAATTCTATATTAAAAATCTATGTTGTTTTTATAATATATCTTTTTTTCATTAAAAGAATTAAAAAAATAAATAAATTAAAACTAGTTTTTGTTAAATCAATTTTATTTTTTTATTAAAACTTGTTTATATACATCTGAAATAGTAGAAAAAAAGAAGAAAAAAATAAAAGCGAAAAATAAATAAAAATTATATTTTTTAATGACTTTTTATGTATTTGTACATATAATTTAATAAAAATTCTATATTAAAAATCTATGTTGTTTTTATAATATATCTTTTTTTCATTAAAAGAATTAAAAAAATAAATAAATTAAAACTAGTTTTTGTTAAATCAATTTTATTTTTTTATTAAAACTTGTTTATATACATCTGAAATAGTAGAAAAAAAGAAGAAAAAAATAAAAGCGAAAAATAAATAAAAAATTATATTTTTTTAATGACTTTTATGTATTTGTACATATAATTTAATAAAAATTCTATATTAAAAATCTATGTTGTTTTTATAATATATCTTTTTTTCATTAAAAGAATTAAAAAAATAAATAAAATAAAACTAGTTTTTGTTAAATCAATCTTATTTTTTATTAAAACTTGTTTATATACAAATAGATTAATAGAAATACTACAAAAAAAGAAAAACAATATATTATTTCATTTATATTTATATATAACTTCGACGTCAATAATTTAACTATACAAACGAAAAAATTAATATTTTTTGTCTGATCAACAAGTGACTTACAAACCTACCTAGTATAATATGTATAAAATTACAAAAAATGTTACAAATCCTATCTCTAGTTCATAATATCTAAGTTTGTACATTGATAATAAAATTACGGCATTGCAAAAAACCCTTTTATAAAGGCCCAGTTTAATTGAACCTCTGGTTAACTAGGCAGCTTACAGAAAATAATATAAGTTGTGTCACTCGTCTTTAAAATACCGGTTTATACAGGGTGATCCGAAAAAAAATTCCGAAATCTTCGGCAGCATATTCTGCAGATAAAAATAGTTAAAAATGTTTGTTTAAATGTATGCCCTAAAATGCTTAGTTTCAGAGATACAGGGTGTAGGGGGTGCAAATTATTTGGAAAAAATCGAAATAAAAATGAAACCCCCTGTATCTCCGAAACTAAGCATTTTAGAAAATACATTTATATGAACTTTTTTACTTATTTTTATGTGCAGAATATGCTGTCGAAGTGTCCGGGGTACAGTCGTCGTTTCCAAGCCAACTGGACGCCGTTTTTTCTCGATCGTACGCTATATTTATCGATATAGAGGATCGCGTACATAGTGTGACAGGAACTCAATTGCTTTTACTAGGTGCTCTCAAAAAGTATCAATTTAAAAAGGCTGTATTTCTTTTGAAGTTCTAGTGATCCAACTTATTTATTTCTCAACCAGTAGATATAGTCAACTACTAGGTACATTTTCATGTTTTATCATGTTAAAATATGGTTGAATTCGAATCTAGGCCTAAAGGAACTCAATTCGTGAGTGTTAAAATCACTAAAACAAGGATATTTTGTATCAGGATATTATACAATTCTTGTCTCTTTCATCTTGAATGGTTGATTTTTTGGTAGGTGTGGTTTGCTGTCGTCTTCTAGCTATAGCCAGGGCATCGTTGGGCACGTAGGATATCCTCACACCCCCGTAAGCCCTTCTTGGAGGTAACTGGTAGTCTAGGTCATCACTAGAAGAGCTAGAAGAACACGTGGAACAGTAGCTGTCCGAATCATCGTCTCTGTTTCTAGAACTGTAAAAATACGTAATTTAGAATAGTTATAATAAAAAATCAACCCAAGAAGCATTTGGTCGTCGGGACAACGTTGTGTCACGTGACCAAACGTCGGGGCGCAACGTCGGCACAACCTCGTGTCAACCCTAGTCTGCACTAGTTTGGAGAATAATTTTTGGGTCGAAACGACGTTGGATACCGACGTTGGCTAGCAGCCTCATTTAGTACAAACTGCAACGTTGTTTAAAATCCTAATTCACAGAAATACAAAACTATAATAATATGGCGTCTAAGTCGCGTTTTATCCTAAATTAGGATAATTATAGTAAAAATATTATTTTTATGCAGACATATGCCAGATGGCAGTAAAGGAAAACAAAACAAAAGTACCTATTTAAGTGTGGAGGATGTTTGAAGATCATAATTATGGAATCACTTTAACCGACTCTGTACCCAAGGCAAAAAAGTTAACGCAAATAACTTTATTGATAAATGTATTGTTTCTACTTTGAAAAATACTAATGGGCCTTAAAATTAAAGAAGTTTTAAAAAATTTCTTGATTTTTTTTTTAGTAAAATGAGAATAATTTATTAAATTTTTTTTTTATTTAATTTATTAAATTTTATTTATATTTTTATTTTTTTTTATTTTTTTTATTTATTTTTTTATTTATTTTTATTTTTTAATTTATTTTTTTTTATTTTATTTATTTATTTTATATTTTTTTTTATTTTTTTTTTTTTTTTTTTTTTTTTTTTTAAATTTATTTTTTTTTATTTATTTATTTTTTTATTTTTTCGCAGTCGAAAAAATTGTTTCCGCGTGTTGTTTAGGGTCAAATATTTCAAGTTAACGTATTCAAAAAGCAGGAATTGCTATTTTAGGAACGAAACATTTTCTTATTCAACGGCTTTCATCTTCTTAATGGCGGCTTTCACTTTGTTGTTTTGGAGATTAAGATGGAGTAGTTCGAGTAGTCGCATACTGGACTAATAAAGTCGCAGTTCAGCCTTAACAGGTAGTATACTAGTCGCAAGATTGCCTAATTTAGTCATCCTAGAGTCTAGCTTGTGCCGCCCTCTATATTCTAAATAAACGAGGGAGTGGATAACGTATCGGTATTATGTCGATGTATATTTAAATTTAGTTTTATATGTACCTTTCTTATGTCCGATTTTATTTAAGTTTTTTTTATAAAAACAAAAACAGCACTGAACTGTCTGACTGAACAGAACAATGAAGTGAAAATTTAAGATTTAGGGTTATGGTTCAATACAGTTGCATAAAGGTAGTGGCTCGACGTCCTACCAACGTAAGAATAAGGAAATCTAAACAACGTTGGAATTAGTAAAACAGACGACGTTTGCATAACGTTGGAATAGGTCCTGAAAGTGACGTCGGAAAACTCTTTATTGCCCAACATTGTAACTACGTTGTCCGAATCACCTAAAGATCACTTAAGCAAAAAAGGTTACAAGACAACGTTTATTCGACGTCGCAGAAGCTTTTACTTTGTTGTAGTACTAGTTCAACGTCGGCACAACGTCACAACAACGTTTACATTTATTTTAATACCTAAGGTACGGAGCTAACTATTTTTTGTAACTAATCCAACGTCGTGTTTAGTAAACATGTGGTCGCAAGTCGTGGAAATGCTACTTGGGAAGGTTACTAGCCTCGTAGAATTAAATAAAGTTAGTACCTGGAAGGAGCATGTGCTTCTGACTGCGTTTTATGTGACTTCCTCGGCACTCTGCTTCTTCTTTGAAGAGTATCCACATGTTTTCTTTCCCTACCTCCGCTGTAGCTTCGACTTCTTGGAAATTTTTTGGAAGCGGCTGCCATGCTTGCGTTGTCAGCTTCGTCAGCTTCAAAAGCTTCGTTGTCGCCTTGAAACCTCACGCTGAGCAGTCCACGAACCTTTTTGGTCGGCGAACCTGGAGTTGTCGAAGTACCACAAGTACTCTCGCTGGATGGTGGTAACTGAAAATTCAAAATTGCAGTTTAAAAAAGTTAAAATATCGCTCCGACCAATATAACAAGATGACATTCTTCGGCATCTTTGGTACAACCAGACCAATGCTGAACCTGGTGGTAAGTTCGCAATGAATGCTGTCCGGCAAGACAATTAATTATTATTTATAAATTAATGAGCGAATTAATGATACGCCACTGTTTAATGACAAAATTGAAGAAACTAAACTAAAACTAGTTTTAGTGAACCCTAATCGACATTTGATTTCGGAAAATCGACTATACATAATACATATATCATATTTTACGCAAAATTGTAAAATTTTCAGGGATTTTGTGCCTAAATGGTTGACTTTAGCGAAAATTTTCATAAAGACTTTTTTATAGGAAATTTTATTCTCTTTAATTTTGCTCTCCTCAAATTTTTGCGAAAAACACATAGTTTTCGAGATATTCACAAAATACCGATTTTGGGCGCCATCTTGGCAAGATGGCGGCGACGGCGGCAAGTCTGGAAGTGTGCATTTTATGGATTTTAGTTGGGGACCCCAAAACCTATAAACGTGCAAAATTTCAAAACTTCCGGACTTTTATTGACTGGACTATTATTAGGCATTTGCATAAAAGTGTGTATTTTTGGTAAAATTTGCAAGCTATTGAGGGAACAAAAAATGTACAAATTACAGAAATAAATTGAAAATAATATTTATATTAAAACAGCATTATACCGGGTGTTGCATCGTCGAGCGGGACATAGGAAATCCCATGTAAATTTTAATGGGCTCAATTATTGGCTTCCCTAATTATTTTAGAGAATAATTCTATTTAGGTTTATTGAAGAGCACTAAAACCCACATTCAAAAGAATAACTTTAGATATTTTTGATTAGCCCGTTTACGAGTTATCGCCGATTTCTACCCGTCAAGGTAAAAGATAACTGTCAAATGAAGTTGTCATTTCAGAAATTTATCTATCATCATTACATTTTTCAGCTCATGCTTCAGGAATTCTTCCTCTACTTGGTCCAGCGAAAGGATATGACAATGACAGTTATTTGACAGAATAGACTATCATACAGGCATATTATAAACAAATCTCTAAAATGATTTTTTGCCCTTCTATGACGTCACAGATAATTTTATGTTAGTATTATATTATGTTAAAAGTTATTGCATGATCTAAGCTTTTATAATTTTACTTTAGGAATTCTTGCTATAGTCTGTCCACCGAAAGGATATATGACGATGACAGTTATCTGAATTCATAAAAAATATTGTTTTCAGTATTTTTTTAAATTCAGCCTGCCAGGATCTCATACCCTGATACGACGTCATATTACATTTTATATTGATTACAGAAACGGCACGGTATCTAGTTGTTCTACTATCTAAGGTTTTCATTTTTTGAGTATATTTACCGCTAGTTCAGGCATACTGTATGCTGTTTCGAGGTTTTTTATGTTATTTTCTTTCTTCTCTTCATTCCCAATTGCCAGCTGATCGGTCCATTCCTCCAAAGAAAGATCGGCAAGATGCAGCGGTTCCCTACTCCTATCCCTGGCACATAGAAGCTTCTCCAAGTCAGGCGAATGGTGCGTGGTTGTACCGGTCCGTTCTGCCAGCAACCTATCCAAGTTCCTCTCTAACAAAACCCTATCCAAACCCTTTTCCAACAGCGCAGGCTTATCCTCCAGCCTATTTTCCATCTCCAACTCCCTCTCTCCACTTTCAGAAGGCGTAGGGGTACTGGCAGAAGATCCCCCGGGTTTAGGGCTCCTCTGCAACGCTCTCCTCCCCATTTTCGGCGACCTGATCGGTGAGGATACATGATGGAGAGTTGTAACTGTCCCAGTGGATGTCGCTGGGGGGTACAGTGGCCCCAAAGGGCTCGAAGGGCAGCTGGTGACAGGGGATCGAGTCTGGTGAGTGCGACGGGTCGATGGAGAACCTGGAGGTGAGCTTGCTTCGCTTGGGGAAGCTGCTTGGTCGTGGAGGTTGGAGTTCTTCGATGATTTGATAGGTCGTGGTAACCTATACAATGAAAAAAAAAAACACATGGTTGTTAAAATGAACTGAAAAGAGACATATTTCATTTTCATAGTACCTAGTTCCTGGTCCGCTGCTATCGGATGGTGTAGGCGGTTCCCCCTTGCTGCAAGCTATCGAACAGTATATCGCCCCTCTCCTAGGCAAAAAGGGCCTACCCAACAAAGATACCCTGCAAGTATGGCAACAAAAACACCCTTCAGTAGCGTGCCAGTGCTGTCCTTCGTGACTCATCTGCCCTTGGTCCACACCTACAGGTTCTCCGCAACTATCACAGTATTCGGCAAAAAGGGCATCAAAACAATGAAGACAATATGGCCTCCCGTCCCGCATTATGTACCTTTGTCCACCTAGCTGTCTTTCGCACTCTGAACAAGCGAAATGCTTCATGTGCCATGCTCGACCTGTTTGAAAAAAATATTTATGTTACTTTGATTTTTTACAATAAAGTAAGTTGTAAGAGGATTTTTTTGCCCCTATATGACGTCATATATAATTTTATGTCGATTACACAAAGGGAATCGCATCTAGTTATTGTATGATCTAAGTTTTTTTTATTTTTCTTCAATAATTCTCGTTATAGTCTATCCAGCGAAAGAATACACGACAGTGACTGTTATTTGAATTAAAAATAAGAAAGTTTTTTTCTGTATTCTATAAATTCCGCCTGTCAAAATCATAAATTCGTTGAACAGACTATAATGCGGGCATATTATATGCAGTTTTAAGGATTTGTAAGAGGATTTTTCGCCCCTATATGACGTCATATATAATTTTATGTCGATTACACAAAGGGAATCGCATCTAGTCATTGTATGATCTAAGTTTTTTTTTAAATTATTCTTCAAGAATTATTATCGTTATAGTCTGTCCAGCGAAAGAATACAGGACAGTGACTGTTATTTGAACTAAAAATAAGATAGTTTTTTTCTGTATTCTATAAATTCTGCCTGTCAAAATCATAAATTCGTTGAACAGACTATAATGAGGGCATATTATATGCAGTTTTAAGGATTTGTAAGAGGATTTTTTGCCCCTATATGACGTCATATATAATTTTATGTCGATTACACAAAGGGAATCGCATCTAGTCATTGTATGATCTAAGTTTTTTTTAAATTATTCTTCAAGAATTATTATCGTTATAGTCTGTCCAGCGAAAGAATACAGGACAGTGACTGTTATTTGAATTAAAAATAAGATAGTTTTTTTCTGTATTCTATAAATTGTGCCTGACAAAATCATAAATTCGTTGAACAGACTATAATGCGGGCATATTATATGCAGCTTTAAGGATTTGTAAGAGGATTTTTTGCCCCTATATGACGTCATATATAATTTTATGTCGATTACACAAAGGAAATCGCATCTAGTTATTGTATGATCTAAGTTTTTTTAAATTATTCTTCAAGAATTCTCGTTATAGTTTATCCAGCGAAAGAATACAGGACAGTGACTGTTATTTGAATTAAAAATAGGATAGTTTTTTTCTGTATTCTATAAATTGTGCCTGACAAAATCATAAATTCGTTGAATAGACTATAATGCGGGCATATTATAAGTATAAGCAGTTTTAAAGGTTTGTAAGAGGATTTTTTACCCCTATATGATGTCATATATAATTGTATATCGATTATATATCTAGTTATTGCATGATCGCATAGTTATTGCATGATCTAAGTTTTTCTTTAGGAATTCTTGCCATACTTTGTCCAGCGAATGACAATGACAGTTATTTGACAGAATAGACTATATACAGCATATTATAAGCAGTTTTAAGCCGTTGCAAAAATATGTTTTGCCTTTTATGATGTCATATAGAATTATTTTACGATGGAAATCGCATCTATAATTATTGTATGATCTTATATTGTATGACCTGTTTGAAAAAATGCTTATTTATGTTACTTTGATTTTTTTAAACGAAAAAAAAAAAATTAAAACACTATATACCTTCGGCTTCAGTGCATTCGTCCGCAAGGATGATCTCGTCACAAGCACTGCATCGAGGTTTGACTGTTTCCGCGTGGTGTCTACCGCAGTAGAGTCGCTGTTCTTTGTAGAAGTAGATGAGGTCTACCAGGAGCTCTCTACAAACGCAACAAGTGAAACAGGAAGGATGCCACACGGTGTTTGGCCCAGCCCTTGAAGCGTATACTCCGATGTCGTTGGGAGACAGAGTCTCAGAACACTGAAAATTACAGAAAAAGAGTTTATTAATAACATTTTCGTCATAGTTTATTATTTTTATACAATAAAGTGTACTCCTAAACTAATAGATATGGTCAGAATACATTTTTTCACCTCTTCCATCATTATTCACTTCTAGAACTACCCCCGTAGGTATGTGTTTGGAGGTAAATTTGAGATAGATTTATTAAAATACATGTAAGGTACTTTTACTAAAATTAGGTGTATATTAAAAAAAACAGTGCCTACCCATAAGCAAATAAAAAAATAAATAAATAAAATAAATTAATTGCATTTTATACTAAAAAAAAATGTTGGGAACACAGCAACAGAGGGGAAGGGGCATTTGAAACAAAGATATATGGCCCCCTAATAAATTTAATAAATCTGTCACGACACAGATGGTGCTATTTATAGCCCCCCAACTTGTTCGAGAAGTGCCTGTTAGAAGAAACTTTTCGATATTTCTTTTGGAATTTTATTATTTGGGGATATAGCAAAAACATCAGGCGCCATTTTGACATCTTATTCCGTAACTGCCTTTATATTTTGATTGAAATAATTTAGTTCTTATATTTTTATATACAATCCATTATACCCTTGTATATGAATTTTTAAAGTAGCTCAACCTAAGACGTTTGTGGATGTAAAGCACCAGATGGCGGGGCGTATTTCACAGTCTTTTACTACAGAAAAATATTTTTTGTTACTCTGAATTTTGAAGCGACCAATAAAAACAGAGAAAATAAAAATCGATAATTTTCGGACTGTGCCAATTGGTTACTAATCGACCAGATACTTTTTGTCTATTAGATATGCTATAAAAGCTGGTAATTATACAATTCGACCATTGTAAATACCCGACCATAGACTTAAAATAAGAATTCTAAACCGTATTAACAAAGAAATTATTATTTCGATATGTTGGTACATTATTTATAATTTATGATAATGCTAATTGCTGTTAATTAATATTTAAAAAAAAGTTACATACCTATTTTAATTTGATTTAATGCAGGTTTATAAAAGAATCATTTCATTCTTAGATTATTTTATTCTAAATTGAGTGCTTTACGAATTTTACGATATTTTTTTTGGAAAATATAAAACTTTTTATATTTTTGATGCCAACTAATTGGCTTGGTATTATTGGTATGGGAATTAGCCAAGAAAGAAAAGAATTGGCTATAACTTGCAATTTTTCGAAAAAACATATTATACCTATATCGCTTAAAGAATGGCGCTTTTATGAAGTCATGGCCAACTAGGGTTTCCATTTAAAAAAAAACATAATGTTTGTGTCATATGTCAAAATGACAGGCTTTGAAAAAAAAAACAGAAAACACAAACTCATTAGGTATGTGATTATCTACAACTTTTATCTGAAAACTTTTTGTCTAAAATACCGTATGATCGAATAAAAATGGCGTCAGCGATGGCTATGAAATGACGATCGATGATATTTCACATATAATTTTACATATAAAATGACAACGATCTTCATTTCATAGCCATCGTTGACGCCGTTTTTATTCGATCATACAGTAGATTATAATGGAATTAGAGACAAGTTTTAAAATAGCCAAAATTTGTTTTTTTCGAAATATCTAGTAAGCCTTGAAATTCTCCGAAAAATCCGAAAGGCGCATATTTATGACCCCACAAAACTGCAATTCTTTCCCCATATAACCGACTCTCTATCTCCAGTAGTTTCCGAGATACCCATAGAGAACATCGTAGGAAACTCACCCTGTATAGTATTTAGAAACTAACTATTATTATTATTTGACTAGATTAATTTGATTAATAAGACTCGATTAATTTAATTTAAAATAAATTTGATCAGATTTTTTTTTCGTATACCGTAAAATGGGGTGAATAGAAACAGTTTCGTAGGCTATTAGCGATATACCGGTTGATAAAAATGTGGTATTATTTTCCCGAATATTTTAAAACATGGGTCTTTGTTTGTTCTTTGCGTATACATATAGTTTGATTTTTGAAAAATATGCATATAAATATTAAATAAAAATAACTTTTGTGTTTCTATTCACCTGCTATTCGGGAGAATAGAAACACACATTGACGTTAAGGTTTTATCTATTCTATTTCCAACAAGGTGATTAGAAACAGATAATTATTACATATTTAAGTAGGTTTAGCAATAATTAACAATACATATAATATAACAACTTACATGTACCAGCTTAAGTATTACTTTAAAAATAAATATTTTATTTATAAAGTTTTCGCGCCATACAAAATAGGTGATAAATCGATCTCACATTTATTGATCAGCTGATTGACAGAAACAGTGCTGCCACAGATAAAAATATAGTTTTTACATTTTATTGTGTATTACCAATGATAGAAAAATTAGATATGTCGACTCTTTTTACTTTGAATATTTTTAATCGTGATTTGATTTTTTTCAGAAATTTTGTTTCTATTCACCCCTATGTTTCTATTCACCCCATTTTACGGTATTCTACTAGCAGAAAACTAAAATTATATGATAACGCACTTTTCAACGAACTTGAAGGAAGATATAGTGTATCTATCACAATACTTAATAGAATTACTACAATTAGAAGAAAAACAAAAAGAAAAAATACCCAAATACCTTCACCTGCCACTCATCTACAAAATAAACGAATATAATCTCTTATCAAAACATTACACAACTACTTCTTGTATTTTACACTGAAAAAATTATCAAACTTACTAATTAATCAAACACAAAGAAAAAATAACCAAATTATCCCTTTACCTACTACTTAACTACAAAATAATAAATTATAAAAACACTACTAAACTATTTCTGGTATTCTACACTAAACATTATAATTAAACTTAATAAAATTAATCTAATTTTTCACTACAACCACTACAACTACAAAGAAATAAGAACATTGTTTAAAACTAGAAGAAACAGAACTTCGATTTGTGCGACCAGTATAATAGATCAAGCGGACAAAGAATATAAAATACTTTAAAAATGTGCATTCAGAAAGAAAAAATATCTCGAAAATTATCTAAAGAACTTTTTGTTTTCTTATCAGTGAAAAGCATCGGCCTCGTCGGCCTTGCGGAATCTGTCGGGTATTTACAATGGTCGAATTGTATAATTACCAGCTTTTATAGCATATCTAATAAACAAAAAGTATCTGGTCGATTAGTAACCAATTGGCACAGTCCGAAAATTATCGATTTTTGTTTTCTCTGTTTTTATTGGTCGCTTCAAAATTCAGAGTAACAAAAAATATTTTTCTGTAGTAAATGACTGTGAAATACGCCCCGCCATCTGGTGCTTTACATCCATAAACGTCTTAGGTTGAGCTACTTTAAAAATTCATATACAAGGGTAATACTAAATTACTTAGTTGTTGAAGACTATTGATATAGTGACTGACTATAATGTTTGACTGATTATAATTCATTTCGTAAAGCCCATATTACTACTGCCGCCAAACCATCCCATAACACACAGAAGATGTTTTCTAGATAATCTAGAACATCTATTCTTATAGTACTTAGCAAAGTACTATATAATATATAGTACTGAACCAAAAAATATGGTTTTCTTGGCTCGTTCGTGTATATCAGCCACATTGACTAATTCATTTCATACGGTCACATTGACTAATTCATTTCAGGAAAATATGTAACTATATCTCTATCATTACCACCATACGACAAAATTCAAATTTTGTTCTTAACAGACATGAAATTATGATAATTATTATTTTTTGTCATGGCATCTATGATATTATAGCGTAACTATATTAAAAATATGGGTAACAATAGAAAAAATTGAAATAAAAATGAAACTTCTACACCCTGTATCTCCGAAACTAAGCATTTTAGGACATGCATTTATACGAACTTTTTTTACTTATTTTTATCTGTATGTATGAATATGCTGCCAAAAATCTCCGGAATATATTTCGGACCACCCTTATAACAGTAGTAACTAAAATACTAAACCCTTTGTCGCAAAATGTAATTATTTTATCCCTTAACAACTCCAATCCTATACCAACACCCTTGAGGGGTCAAACCGTCAATAAAGCTTGACCAATCCTTTACAAATACACCCTTTTAGAACTGTCTATTTACTAAACTTAGACGATTTCAGGGATTACCTCAAAGTCCTTTAACAATTACCAAATTCTACTGAGAGAAACTGACCAAAATTGTGGCGATATTACTTTAAATTCTTAAACAGAAATAACTTAATAAAAATGCCAGACGGTAGGCGACCTTTTTCAAAGGTTTCCCAACGAAAAACTCCGGAAAAAGAACAAAAAATATTCGACTTTCCTTAAAGTGCCTTCACTGGCTTCTCTAAAGTGCGAAAATATCTTGATTTACGGCTTTCCCCGAGACGGGGATGTATTTAGATGTCGCAGGCACAATAATTCTTTCGGGAAATACGTTTTTCCTTTGACTCGGTGAATAATAGTTTTCTCCCTATCTTCGGGCATGTTTAATGAAACTTTTCAGGCCTTGAAAAGATCTTGCTTTTATTGAAATGTCCTTTTTTTCGATTTGTTATTTAGTTCTGCTTAGCATGAAAGTGGAAAACACTCTGTAAAGCTTCGTCTACACGTAATGTGTTTAATAAAAAAAAAGTGTGTGTAATATGTGCGCATATACCGGGTGTTCCATCGTCTAGCGGGACATAGGAAATCCCATGTAAATTTTAATGGGGTCAATTATTGACTTCCCTAATTATTTTAGAGAATAATTCTATTTAGGTTTATTGAAGAGCACTAAAACCCATGCACATTCAAAAGAATAACTTTAGATATTTTTGATTAGCCCGTTTACGACTTATCGCCGATTTCTTTTTAAATATTTCTCCTTTCTTATGGCCCTGTATTTACTTATGAGCACCAGTCAAGGTAAAAGATGACTGTCAAAGGCAGGAACAAAGAGAAGATGCAAGAAATGATACCGACTTGGAAGTTTTATTGTGCGTGGAAGAGAACGATGGAAAGATCAGCACAAGGAAACTTGAGGATGAAAAAGGAATAGATCACACTACAGCGTTTCGAACTTTGAAACGACATAAATACTATTTCTTCAAATATGAAAACCACCAAGAGCTACGAGATGGGGACGAAATACGGCGGCAGGCGTTTTGTTTTGATATGATGGAAAGAGCAAACACGGATAGGGAATTTTTAAAAAACATATGTTTCACTGACGAATGCACGTTTACCTTAAATAATGAACCCAATGTTCAAAATTATCGATATTGGAACAAAGAAAACCAACACAGGTTTGTCGAAACAAGGACGCAATATCCACAGAAAGTAAATGTTTGGGCAGGGATATTCGGACACAATATTATCGGGCCATTATTTCTTACGCGAAATTTAAATGCAGAATATTATTTGGAACTAGATTCCAGACTTGATATAGATATGTACTCTCATCGGCAGATCGTTAAATTAAACTCAACATATTGAAAATTTGACAGCAACATTGCTTTAAACTGAGCCATCCTTAATTAAACACCGTTATAGTGAAAAAATAGATGCAGGAAAAACAAAAATACCCCTACTATATATCTTAACAATTTTTATTGTGCAAAACTGCCAGAAACCTTCATATTCTCTTCTTTTTGGTTAAAAATCCGTCAGCCCTTCAATTTTACTGTAAAATCGTTCATATCGAGGAAACTCTTTCAATTCTGTCAATACTGGTTTTAACTGACAGACAAAACGTAAGGTAAAACGTAACGTATAGACAGACCTTTAGACAGCAATTAAAGAATTGGCAACGCGGGACTTGTTAATATTTCCAAACTTTAATTTTATTTCGTTCCCTGGGGATACAAAAATACGTTTTCCTTAAAAATAAATCCTCCTCCGTTCTTTTGGAGTCTCCGGGGATGAATTCGGGAGGCAATTAAAAAAATGGAAATTAAGAAAATGCAGTTAGCCCAATGAGTATTATACTCCCTAAAAGGGAGAGAGTTCTTTAATTAGAGTGAAGTAAAGCGTAAGAAGATGTAAGAATATCTCAGAGATATAGAGGTAAGAAGAATGAGAATATAGTTATCATTTAACAACTATATTTATCATTTTGAGTCAGTTAAAAAAGAAATTCTGAGAAACTTTCCGAAAAAGAAAATTTCAGAGAGAATTAATATGATTCTATTGATTGGTGATTGCAGTATGCATTCACCAATTAATAGAATGCTTAAATGCCTGATTTATCTATAACGCTGATTTATCTATGCTGGACTTTTTTTATGGGGATATGTTAAAGACAGTGTGACAAAACTCGACCAACTATTGTAGACAACATGAGAGAAACTGCATTTTGAAGTAGAACTCCACATATGCTTCTTAACATGAAAAAATCTTTTGAAAAGAGAATCATTTTATGCAATGGACAGGACAGGAAGCATTTTAAGCGTTTGATTTCGTCTAGCTAATTTTTTCAAATAATTATAAAGTGTAACCAATTTTCAATATTAATTTTCTTTCACCCTGTATAACTTTTCGGGTCAAATTTTAATTTCGTTTAACGTACAATATTAGTACAGTATTAGACATTTTAACTAAATATCAGGCTGTACAGGGTAAATTACAATTTAGGCAGCTGTTATGGAAATTTAAAATGTATTCTTCATTTTCACAAAATGTGAAATATATCATGTTATACTTTAGGCATATGTATTTTTAATGAAAGTTACCTTTATTTTTTCTCTAGAATCCGAAAATCAATTAATATATAGGGAGTTCCATTATAAAAAAAAACCAACTTCAATGCGTATTTTTTTGTGGGGATATCCTGTAAAACTCTATTATAAAATGCTTTCAATTAACCTACATATTTATGCTTCCAAAATGTCGATATAAACTACTTCACTTATTTTAATAGGTACTTACACTATCGCATCGTAGTATTCCTGGTACTTGTCGCACTGAACCTCTTCCTAAAGCTTCTCGTTTCCTCTGAGCACTGAACAGCCTCAGTTCTTTCCTTTCTTCGTCGCTCAGAGCATGGCAGTACCGTACTTCGTTATCATGAGGAGGTAATTGTTGCAGAAGTTGCCTAACTCTGTACCTTTCCCCTACGCTGTTTACATAGGGTACTTTGTCTTCCGGAAGAGCGCTGAAGTACAAATGAACCTAGAAGAAGACATATGTCTCAGTTATATTAAGCTACTCAGTCACCATGATCAGTACTTGCACTGATATATACTTCAAGATCATGAATACTTTGATTTTGATGATTTTCTTTTATTCATCCTGTAAATTATAATCCCAGTGCCCAGAGACTTTTACCTCGGAATTCAATTACTGTGAATGTATTAATGTCAAACCTTCTGTATTGTGTTTTATAGATAAAATACTAAAAATGTTTACCCATTTTTTTCGTTGCGTTTAATTTTTTATTTTAGTAATTTTAGTAAATTCTTAATTATTTCCTTCTTAATATTTTGATTTTTTTAATTCTTTTTCTAAGTGAATTTATTGAAATAAATAAATAAAATACACAAGCTATACCTATTCTGCTTATATTCTAATCATTGAAATTTTGATTGAAATCGAATTATACAGGGTGGCGCTCTCTTCATACAGAGCGATCTGCTAGGAAATACGTACGTGCTCTATAGTAAAGTGTGATGTCCAAAAACAATTAAAACAATAGTTAATATGTGTTATTGTGTTGTCCAGTTTTAACAAATTTTAACTCTGTAAGAATCTACGTTCAAGAGGCTTGAAAAAGACATATACTGTCGAAACGTCGTCATAAAATAAAAAAATAATGAACAAAATCTAGAAACATCTTTGCAACCCCAACGACCTAAAGCCAAGAGTAAAAACAAAAAATATATAGTATACAGGTCAAAGAAACGAAACAAAAAATACCTTTGTTTATATACTCTTCTATACCTAATTTGAAATAAGATAGTTGAACCGTGCCCAGACTTTTTGAAGCACTTTGTATATGCAAAATAGACTTTTTTGGCAAATTTATTCAAAACCACTTTCATTTGAGACCGTTTTCGGAAACGTCAAATAAAAAAGATAATGGGGGTGTCAATGTATAAAAGAAAACCCTGAGTATACTAATCAAATCTATTCAAGATTGTCATTTCAATAAGCTGGGTCTCTAATAATACCAGACAATATGTGAACAATATTTTATTATTATATTTTAAATAAGTAACCATATTCTGAGAATTAAACACTGACGATTTAGAAAATAACAGAACTTATACCTATTAAAAATATCTAAATTTTATTTTACCATTTACTATTTACTGATATTTTGTTTTATAACAGCTGGATGCAATGGTCACGAAGTGCACATTTTTAAATTTGAAAGAAAAATCCATTTCGTTTAATTTAAAAAATTTGGTACTGTCAAAATTTGTCAATTTGTCAAAAAATGTCATTTGACATTTATGACATACCTCTTCGGAAATCTTGAGAAAAAATACGTAACTTTATATTTCAAGTTCTTCTCTAGCTACTATAACAATTAATTTATGAGAAGTATCCACATAAAGGATCTTACTACACACAGACGCATGGAGGCTTACGCTTCCAATAAATTTAATGTTGCGATTTTTTGCGATTTTTTGACTCAACTTTTCTAAGACAGAATATATGCCACTATCAAAAAAACCTTAAATGATTATGTTCTACTTTGACCTTTACCTAGTTTTTATCCAAAAAATCAAAATAAAAGATACTTTTTTACTTACCTTGACATTAAATTTACCGCAACCGGGAATCTACGTAAAACACGTTATGACAATTTCACAATAACTATTGACAGCAAGCTAAGGTCGTCCGATTCAATTGTTATAATACTGTGTCACTTGAATGCAACGCCTACTATTTAAAAAATTGTAGAAAAAAGGCAGTTATTGAACACAAATTAACTGAAAATGTAGGTTTTGCGCAAAGATCGGGTTACAGCCCCTCGAAAGAGACTCCGAATATGTTTTTTTGTTAGTTTTATGTGGTTTCCTCTTAACTAATATGTTTTCAATCTAATGTTATTGCCATAAATGCTAACTGTGGATGTTATTTTCTGCAACTTGGTTTGGACATATTGCCTACTGTGCGGCGGTTTCTTAGTGATAAACTTACAATAAGTCGATCGTCTCGATTAGAAGTTCTCAGACGAAGGTTCCTGGACGTCTATATTGGTCATAATTCAAAGACCATTTAATATACTCTATGGCATTAAGGTATTTTTGGAACCAGAATTTTATAGCAAATTCACTAAAGTCGAATAAATAAATGATATATATTTGACTCACCCTGTATATCTATAAAAATAATTTTGAAATGTGAACTAGTATTAAACATATATTTTGTAAAAGGTTTCGAGTGAAAATCTCAAATAGGAATCCTGATACAGAGCTTTTCCGGAAAACGGAGCCATCTTGTATGTATGCATTTGTATATGTGTGTGTTTATTAAAGTGAAAGCAACGAATTCAAATAGGTAAACTTTGTAATATATCTTATTAACAATACAATGCAAAAAGTTTTATAAAAATTCGTTCACAGTAAACGAATTCCCAGGTTTGTAGTTCATAAGGGCTTAAAGCACTCTATATGCAAAAAACCTCTTTTACCATACGCATATCAAAGTGTCAACTTAAAATCACCCATTTCATCTCCCTAAGCCCCATAATTGTCTCTAATTCCCTTACCTGATCAGGCCGGAGACCGGGTGGTACCCAGGTATACTCCTCCAAGGCACAACCGCTGTCGTCATCGCTTTGGGAGTGCCTCTGGGGGTCCACAGCTCCAAAAGGGGATCCTTTACCTAGAAACCGGTCTCCTGGAGGGTTGTCCGGGGGTAGTTTAGCACCCAGAGGGGGCGATAAGGGTGGGAGACCGTGTAAGGGTGGTACCGACATGTCGTGGGTCCTGTGTACAGATCTGAAATAGAAAAAAATAGCGTTAAGTAAGATTATAATAATGGTACTGATGAAAAAATGTAAATATGATTCAAAAAAGGTGCAAAATATTCACGAATCTGAGATTTGTCAGCATTCAAGGGATACACTGGGTAGATTTTAAAATGAAGTTTAAATAAATAAATAAATAAATAAATAAATGCCTTTATTGTGAAAATTTTTTTCAATTTGTAGACAAAGGTAAACTAAACAAACAAAGTAAACAAACAAGGTACACAAACAAAAGATGATACAAAACATTATACAAATAATATTGGCAGTCTTATAGTTTAAAATAAACATTTATAAATGTTTACAATGTCAAAGAACAAAAAAATAAAAATAATATTCAAAAATATTTAGTTAGTTTATACCGTATGATCGAATAAAAACGGCGTCAGCGATGGCTATGAAATGAAGATCGCTGTCATTTTAAATGTAAAATTATATGGGAAATGTCATCGATCGTCATTTCCAAGCCAACAGGACGCCATTTTTTTTCGATCACACAGTAGTAAATATCAATGACCTCTAAATAAATTTATTTCGATGTCATTAGTAAATATAGCAATAGCAAACATTAGATCAGTGTTGCTGCAAGTGAAGCTAGTGTCGTCCACAAAAATACATATTTTGCCACTGATGTTTATGTTAGCAATGTCGTTAATAAAAAGAAGAAACAAAATAGGGCCTAGTACTGAGCCTTGTGGTACTCCACATTCTATTGGCTTGCTAGAAGACAACGTGGTATCCACTCTCACAAGTTGACTTCTGTTGCTCAGATACGACTTAAACCATTCGAGAGATGATCCCCTGAACCCATAGTGCTGCAGTTTATTAATTAGAATCTAATGATTTACACAATCGAACGCCTTAGAAAAATCACAGAAAATTGTTGCTGTAGAATGATCGTTATTTAGGCTGGAGTAAACTTTATTAAGGAGGGAAAACATAGCGTCATTTGTGGACTTGTTGCTTAGAAATCCAAATTGATATTCAGTAACTATTTTGTACTTAAACAGAAAAGATACCAGCCTTCTTTTAACCAATCTTTCTATGATCTTAGATAGCGTTGGAAGGAGTGCAATTGGGCGATATTTAGAAGCTTCATCTTTGTCTCCTCCTTTATGCAGAGGAATGATTATTGCCGTCTTAAGACATTTTGGAAAAATGTCATTTTGGAATGACATATTTATTAAAGTAGTTAGGTGATTCAGAGTGCTTTCTGGTAGATTCGAAAACATTTTTAAAGTTTGACTTCATATCATTCATAACAGAACGTCAACGGTTTTTATAGACGTATCTGTTTAAAACGAGTTCAAGAATAGTTGTATTTAGATATATTAAATAGTTTTTTCTTTGTTCTTTGGGTTTTTTTTTGTTTCCGACGACGGGAAGAGATACTTTCCAAAACGTTAAGCATTTTTTTGCCCGTTAGGCAAATTTGTTTATTACTAAACCACTGCTGAGAAATTAGTCTCAATTGGATTAACGCAGCAGTTTTTACAAAAAACAACTATTTTATTTTGTAGATTTTCTTACAGTGGCCAAAAACCCAGAATTCGCTTTAAAAGACAACATAATGACTTCTCTCTGTAACTATTCACATCGTATTCCCAGCAAAACGTGTATTTTTATAAATAGGTACACTTAACGTAAAGTTATTATACCAACGCTTTAAAATATGAGGACCACTAAAGAAACTTATGTTTTTCATAACTACCAGCAAGAATACTAATGAGTGTTCGACACTTTCAACTGAAGAACTATAATAAAATGGTTACAAGCTCATAAAAATACTGCCTGAGGCAGTGTATTTCATCTTTTACCAGTAATGTTCCAGAAAAATCTGAATACATATACATAAATTTGAATTTAAACATCATTTTTCTCATTAGCTGTAGTCCGATACTTGTTTCTTTCAAGATAGAGATGAAAAATCGCTTATATATGAATGTTTAAACAATTTGTTTGAATATGTCTTTGATGTATCTAAGGATTTTGGTCGAATATCTCAAATATAATAGCTTAAAATTGGAAAAAATCCTCTTTGTCTTCAGATGTTGTTGACCATGTATGTACCATTACTGGCATGACTGTCCCCAGAAGCTTTTCTGGCATACAATTAACGTAAATACACGCATATTATACTAGTAAGATGGACTTTTTATGCATCTATTACAAGAAGTCCTTCATGTATTTTAAAGTTTTATACAGGGTGAGTTTCCTACGATGTTCTCTATGGGTATCTCGGAAACTACTGGAGATAGAGAGTCGGTTAAATGGGGAAAGAATTGCAGTTTTGTGGGGTCATAAATATGCGACTTTCAGATTTTTGAAAAAGTTCATGGCTTACTAGATATTTCGAAAAAAAAAACAAATTTCGGCTATTTTAAAAATTGTCCCTAATTCCATTATAATCTATTTTTGACAAAAAGTTTTCAGATAAAAGTTGTAGATAATTACATTCCTAATAAGTTTGCGTTCTTCGATTTTTTCTAAAGCCTGTCATTTTTGACATATGACACAAACATATCTTTTTTTAAATAGAAACCATAGTTGGCCATGGCTTCATAAAAAGCGCCATTTTTTAAGCTTTTCAGCGATATAACCTATAATATATTTTTTTCGAAAAATTACTGAGTTATAGCCAATTCTTTTCTTTCTTGACAAATTTCATTTAGTTGGTATCGTATTCTTATTCTGCTATGATTTATAACTTATAAAAAGACAGAATATTGTATTAAACGGTTCTTTACAATTTACATTACACAAACTAAAACTTAAAAAAAAACTAATATCACTACATACACTTTAAGTTATTTTAGCAAATGTTAAAAAAAACGCCATTGTTTTGAGTACACAAAATGCATCTTTTTAAAACTGAATTACAATGAAAAAAAATTTAAAATGAATAGGTTAGGTGATTGAGGAGACCCATGCAATTGGGCCTCCTCAATGCAACATTTCTTTCATTATAATGGAGAGTGTCATAATGAAAGTCATGTTGGAGCCATTCTATTGATGCGCGAGTATCTAAATTTAACTTTTCTAACATGTCTTGAAAACCGTTGTCTAAACAACAATCAATAATACTACACGCTTTTCTTTATTTGAAAAATTCATATTTACAATTTTTGTTTATTTTAATTTACAAAGTTTGGATGTGACAGCTTCACATTACTGAGAGCAACGACAATTCATTTTGTTTTCATGGCTAACTAAGTGAAATTGTTTAAACATGATAAGAATTGGCTCTAACTCAGTAATTTTTCGAAAGAAACATATTATAGGTATATCGCTGAAAAGCTTAAAAAATGGCGCTTTTTATGAAGTCATGGCCAACTATGGTTTCCATTTAAAAAAACATATATTTGTGTCATATGTCAAAAATGACAGGCTTTAGAAAAAATCGAAGAACGCAAACTTATTAGGAATGTAATTATCTACAACTTTCATCTGAAAACTTTTTGTTTAAAACAGATTATAATGGAATTAGGGACAATTTTTGAAATAGCCGAAATTTGTTTTTTTCGAAATACTATCTAGTAAGCCATGAACTTTTTCAAAAACCTGAAAAGCGCATGTTTATGACCCCACAAAACTGCAATTCTTTCCTCATTTAACAGACTCTAGTATCTCCAGTAGTTTCCGAAATACCCATAGAGAACATCGTAGGAAACTCACCCTGTATATTGTGTTCTAGTGGACCGATTTTGATGAATTTTTAAGCAATTTGTAGCTAAATTATTTGACTTTTTAATGCATCTTTCTAAATTAAAAATAAAACTCCCCATTTGTTAATTATACGAGGGTAAACAAAATGTTGATATTTTAGTGAAAGTTTTAAACACCCGGTGGAGTACGATAACAGAGCAAGGAATTTAAAAATACTTTTGTCATCTTTTTTCGATAGTTTATTTTTAAGTTCATCTTAAAAACTGTATTTTTTTGGAGATATTCGGTTTTGAAGAAGACACAAACATTTTTTCGAATTTTTTACATTAAAGCCATTGCCTTGGCTTTTGCTCCTAGTCAACAGACCTATCAAGTAATGTTTATGATTTATACAATGTCACTGTCTTTGAAAAATCGATAAAGATATTTTTAAATTCCTTGCTTTGTTAATATATTCCATAGGGTGTTTCAAACTGTCACCAAAATATCAACATTTTGTTTTCCTCCGTATAATTGACAGATGGAAACTGTGATTTTTAATTTAGAAAGAGACACTAAAAAGTCAAATAATTTAGCTACACATTGCTTAAAAAATAATCAAAATCGGCCGATTAAAATAAAATATATTAACCTTTAAAATACATCAAAGTTTTAAGGTGCCCCTTTTTGGTGCCGGTGAGTAGTGGACTAATTATCAAGAGTACCCGGTATACCAGTTCTCGATAGCTAAAATAATAAATACAATTCACCTCCGTTTATGCCTTGTTTTATCATAACGTGTTTCCCTTTTAACTCATTGACATTTAAAACCTTATTTTACTCCTATTAAGGCCTGCTTTACACGATTCCCGGCTTTAATAAATATTATTTAATTGCCCACAGAGGTTTATGTCAGTTTATTTATACCATTACTTCGATGGAATTTACGCAACAACGTGCCTTTCCACGACATGCCACATCCTATATACAGGGTGAGTCAACGATAAAGTCCATTATCTAATTTGTTTGGACACCTTATTTTTAATTTTATTTTCAGTTCTGCATAAAAGTCCATAAACTTTTTAAATAATGTTTTATACCTAAAATTAATAGTTTTTGTAATATTTAAATGTGTTTAAACAAATGTCAAATTGCAGTGTGGTAAAAAATTGTCAGTGGTGCCATTGTTTCTGAAGTTGGAGTACCAAAATTTGGTAGGAGAGTTTTATAGAGCTGAAAAAAAGATATATGTAAAGATATTTTAATTAAATGATACAGGGTGTTCAAAATATATTTATGAATTTCAGCTACTTAAAATTAAAAAAATCTCATTTTTTTTAAATGGTACACCCTATATATTATAATTTTTTATTTCCACTCTATTCTTTTATTGCCTTTTCTTGGTTATTCCTAGCACATTTTGTTTCACTGAGTGTTGTGCGACTTGTGAATTTTATGTATCTGCAGTAATAATACTGCCTCAAAAATTATTTTATATAAGTCATTCTTATTTTTTTATAAGAATAACATTATTTTAACTACTTACCTAATTACTAGACACATATTATAAAACAGAAAATACAATTTTTAATCGTGTGGGCGTATTAAAATTACAACAATTAAAGTCCAGAATTAAGAGGCCTATAATAATGACGTGTCTGACCAATTAGATGCTTCAATTAAGCGACTTAGTCACTTCAGAATTAGAAAACCGGTCGTTTTTAGACCTAAATTCAGTTCTATTACATTTTTTCTTTAAGAACATCATGGACAAGTGGAGTGAAAAGCTTCAAGAACGATCAAAACTCGAAAGAAACTTGATTGTCTCAGTTATTGTGCTCGGACTATTGTGTTTTGTGTTTTTTGTGTTCTTGGTTGCCATTAGAAAAGGTGAGAATAACATACAGGGTGAGCTAGTGTTCTGAAATAACTCCATATCACGCTTTCTATTTGAGATTGTTTTCAATATAGTCATTTTAGTCCATATAATCAAATAACTTTGTAGGAAAATATGAAATAAATAAATTTTATACAAAAAACCCTTCTTATTTTTTAATAATTCGTTTTTTTTTCTTTAGCCAATCCTGAAAAACTTTATTTGTATGTAATTTCTTTTTTATTTTATTTTTCATTATACAGGGTGTGAAACATACCATTTTTATCGTTACTTATTTTTGAAAGTTTAGATAAATAATGCATACATTTTGATAACCGTCAAGGTATCGCTGTGTTGCCACAGAACTTGATTAAAAATACCGTATGATCGAAAAAAAAACGGCGTCAAAGATGGCGACAAAGATGACGACGTCAAAAACACCGTTTTTTTTTCGATCATACGGTACTTGCACTTATTTAAGATACACCCTGTATAAAATATATTACTTTTTATTACAGGACGCGATGTGTGTTACTCTCCGCAATGCATTGAAGCGTCATACCACATTTTATCCACAATAGACCAAAGTATCGATCCCTGTCAAGACTTCTACAAATTCACCTGTGGAGGCTTCCATAAAACAACCCTAGCAACCAAGAAAAGATCAACTTTAACTGATCTACAGTACCACCAAACAGCTAAACTCAACGAAATATTGTTAGAAACGTCAAACAACACTCAAAATTATTCAATAGCCTTTGAAAACCAAAAAGAATTCTACAAAGCCTGCCTAAATACAACTTTCATCGAAAAAAATAACGATACCGGCTTCCTAGAGTCCATAAGACAAGCTACAGGAAGTTGGCCATTATCACATGGCTTCGTGGAGGATCTTTATTGGCCAGAAGTCATGGTAAAGTCAAAAGAAAAAGGTTTGGTACACGATTTCTTTCTTAGTGTTGGCATAAAGAAGGATGAAAGAAGAAATAAGGTTTTTTTGGATGTTGCACTACCTCCAAAGAGGTCTTTCGAGAAAAAAGTCTTTAAAGAGGTGAATTTAGAAGGAATTTTGAACATAGCAAGGACCTGGGGAGATCCTACCCTCAGTGCTACATGGGAATTAAGAGAAACCATCAAGTTTGCGAGGAACCTATCAAAAATTATCGAAAATGCTTATTCACAGACCAAAAACCTAACTTTAACTCAACAAAAAACTCCAATTTCAGCTTTAAAAAACGTGAGCTTTCTAAAACTGCATTGGCTGTCGTTCTTGAAGAACATCACTAAGCAGAACTACCTGAAACAAGATGATGTGATCGTTTTCAGTACGGGCGAAGAGTACCTTAAGGAGTTGTACTATTTGATTCAAAGCACTTCAACGAAACTGTGGGTGAATTATATTGTAATCTTGAATATTATCAACGATTATGAGTATCTGAGTTCGAAAGTTGGAGAGTACGTTAGGGAAGTGTTGAATGAACCTCAAAAACCCAAAAGAAGTGAAGTTTGCTACAGGAAAGCTATAGAATTGTAAGTTTTTGATGTAATTTTTTATTGATTTTCTGTCTTTTTCCTATAATCAATCGTTTCTGTTCTATGTATATACCGGGTATTGCATCGTCGAGCGGGACATAGGAAATCCCATGTAAATTTTAATGGGGTCAATTATTGGCTTCCCTAATTATTTTAGAGAATAATTCTATTTAGGTTTATTAAAGAGTACTAAAACCCACATTCAAAAGAATAACTTTAGATATTTTTGATTAGCCCGTTTACGAGTTATCGCCGATTTCTTTTTAAATATTTCTCCTTTCTTAAGGCCTTGTTTTTACTTATGAGCACCAGTCAAGGTAAAAGATAACTGTCAAATGAAGTGGTCATTTCAGAAATTTATCTATTTAGTGCTTTATTATTATTATTAAAAACTCATACCTACATCGAAAATATTAGCCATGAATCCGAATAGACCGATACCTGGAAAATCTACAATCGCAAGGAATATCCAGAGATTTGAGACAAAAAAGGTACCCTAATAAATAACTGCAGATATGAAGCAAGGCAGGAACAAAGAGAAGATGCAAGAAATGATACCGACTTGGAAGTTTTATTGTGCGTGGAAGAGAACGATGGAAAGATCAGCACAAGGTAACTTGAGGATGAAATAGGAATAGATCACACTACAGCGTTTCGAATTTTGAAACGACATATTTATGGACTCTTGGTGCTTTTCATATTTGAAGGAATAGTATTTACTATTCCTTCAAATATGAAAAGCACCAAGAGCTACGAGATGGGGACGAAATACGGGGGCAGGCGTTTTGTTTTGATATGATGGAAAGAGCAAATACGGATAGGGAATTTTTAAAAAACATATGTTTTACTGACGAATGCACGTTTACCTTAAATAATGAACTGAATGTTCAAAATTATCGATATTGGAACAAAGAAAACCAACACAGGTTTGTCGAAAGAAGGACGCAATATCCACAGAAAGTAAATGTTTGGGCAGGGATATTCGGACACAATATTATCGGGCCATTATTTCTTACGCGAAATTTAAATGCAGAATATTATTTGGAACTACTCGAAAATCATATTCTACCTGCTTTACATGATGCCGCTAGGGAAAATCAGGAAGTTTGGTACCAAATGGATGGCTAAGTACCCTGGCTGTTCGGGAATAAGACAATACATAGTTTTAACGGAAACGTTATTGGCCTAAATCATACAGTAAATTGGCCAGCAAGGTCTCCTGATATTTCGCCAAATGATTTCTTTCTCTGGGGCCATTTTAAAAACAGGATATACAAGGATAAAAAATACCCAAATCTAAACGAGTTAAAAAATGCTATTTCTCGAATGCAATAGAATGTCAGTTTACCAACTAGCGAATGTAAGAAGAGAATTTTATGATCGCCTGGGTTATTGCCTAGCAGTCGATGGAGGAATATTTGAACATCTTAAATCCTAAAGTTCTAACAATTTAATAGTACCTAAATTAATAAGTTATTGAATATTGTAATAATACTATAATTGACCTTGTAATTGATTACTTTATTTTACTTTAATTCACATTAATTTGTATTTATAAATACATCTTTAAGATTTCCGATGTAGGAACGAGTTTTCAATAATAATAAAGCACTAAATAGGTAAATTTCTGAAATGACAACTTCATTTGACAGTTATTTTTAACTTGACTGGTGCTTATAAGTAAATACAGGGCCATACGAAAGGAAAAATATTTAAAAAGAAATCGGCGATAACTCGTAAACGGACTAATCAAAAATATCTAAAGTTATTCTTTTGAATGTGGGTTTTAATGCTCTTCAATAAACCTAAATAGAATTATTCTCTAAAATAATTAGGGAAGTCAATAATTGACCCCATTAAAATTTACGTTGGATTTTCTATGTCCCGTCCGACGATGCAACACCCGGTATAGGGCAAAACACTATATAGTAGAAAATTTAGTAAAAATATGTATTAAATTGTCTAATATTAAATTTTTCATTGTATTATATAGGTTTCCACATGTTGCTGAGACAGAATACATAAAAAGGTCTCTAACAAAAGAAAAGAAAAATAGAATAGAAAAACTGATAGAAAATGTGAAGGAAGAAATTATACACTCTGTGAAAGACAACGCTTGGATGAATTTGAATGATCAAAAATCATCGATAGAGTTTTTGAAAAACATGAAACAAGCAATAGGATGGACTGTCAATGAGACACAAAACGACAACTTTGAAAGAGTATGTTAATTTCAGTTTCATAGATTATGGAGTATATTTTTTTAAGTTTTTTTATAAACTTTTTGTATTTTTTAGCTCAATATGTCATCTGTAAGCCTTATAGAGATAGTACATACAGTTAGAAGGTACTATTTTGATCGTACCTATGATAAAATAGGAAGTTCTGGCATTGATGACATCCTCGAAGATACCATGGCATCTGTAAATGCCTATTACGTACATGACCTCAACATTTTAAGTAAGTATGTTGATATTATGATATCAACAATCTATAGATGATACCAAAAATTTTAGTTTTACCAGCACCAATTTTGTATCCCCCGGTATACGATCCATCTAGACCACAGTACCTCAACTACGGATCTTTAGGACATATTATAGGACATGAACTAACTCATACCTTTTCTAATAACCTTTGGAACAATGATACTAGAAAAAAGTTTGAAGAAAATGCACAATGCATTGTCAAAGACTATGAAAAATTCGTCACAGACATCGAAAGCACACAAGTAAGGCATCTCAGAGAAATAAGTAAACATAGAAAAGTTCTAAAATGTTTATTTATGAAACCATTATATTTTTATTTATATCTTGTTGACTACTTAATACAGTTAAATGTAGATCTTAGAGCATCTCTGTTGGGTACTTAAGTCTTTAAATATGATTTAGAGATGTTTTAAATATTATTTAATTGTTTTTTTTTTATAGAAAAATGGTGCAGAGACTTTGAGGGAAAATCTAGCTGACTTACTGGGTATAAACCTAGCATATACAGCCTACCAGAGATGGACAGATGATCATGGAGTTGAAACTCAGCTACCAGGTCAATAAAGTTCTCTTTATTTACAATTTTTACAAAAATTAATTGAATAATTTTGTTTTCCATCCGTATACAGGGTTGAGTTACACTCCCAATCAACTTTTTTGGATCATGGCGAGCACTTATATGTGTTCAGACAATAATTTTGACCAGAAAGACACAGATTCCATGGATATACACGGCGTTCAAAACTACAGAATAGCCGGAGCTGTCATGCATTCTCCTTATTTTTCTGACGACTTCCTGTGCCCCGTTGATACGCCCATGAATCCCGGAAAGAAATGTAAAGTTTATCTTTAAATATTATTGAAAAATAAAGAATCTATTTATTTGTTTATTAATGTTTTTTTTTTGCATAGACAAGATTGTGTAGGAAAAGGAAAACCGAGACAGGCTTTTCTTAATTTGTTTTTTAAATTGCCCGCTTTTATTTTCATTTAAGAGGAGACGTCTAGCAAACGTCATAAAGTGGAATCATCTGCCCCATTGAGTCTCAGCTTGACAACCCTTCTATAAAAACATGCCCCTCCAATAAGTATTCTTTTAATTAAAACCCTAACTTGGGTTTTTCAGTTTTTATTTCTGGCATTTTAGTAGTCTAGAGAGTCTCTTTTTATTCCGAATTATATTTCTTACATTTTTTTATATACTGGACGTTTCTAAAAGTGCAACAAAAAATAATCTGACAAATAAAAAGAGCATAATGTTTCAGTTGGGTTTCTCCTTTGAATAAGAAGACTAAGCAAGGGGCATATCAAAAATCTTAGGTACACCGCGATGGGCCTCAAATATGGCCGACTTAAATTCCGGTTTATCAGTGTCGTTCTAATTTTATTTAAAAAATGTAAAACTATGATGTAGGGTAGACGTGGGGTAGACCCCAACGTCAATAATTTGTTGTTTTATTTTACGTTGTGAATAAATGTTGGTAGTTATTAAAATTGTTATAAAAATATATAATTCTAATAAAAATAGATAAGTTATAATAAGTATTTATTACCACAAACATCCGATACGCTACTGAAGCAGGTAAGTCAAATTAACGTATCTAAATTCTTTGACATATAATCTTTGACAAGTAATAAATAAAAGCTAAAATGCAAGAAAAATATATAATTTAGTTAATTTAAGTGAATTTCATAAATGATCGGTTTACTACACGTATGTATATTATATAGTCACTTACTAGCGAAAAGTTGTTCCATTATTTCACAATTTTTTGCCGAGATCTACCGCACGCTACACAACCAACTATTTTAGAGTCTTTTTCAATAAATCGCGATAGTGTCACTGTTAATTTAAGTGCTGCCACAATTTCCATCTAGATTTACTACCTTTATACAACTATCAGTAGTAGAATAAATAATAAATAACATAAAATACGCTCCATAAAGACTGACAAATCCACAAAATTTCAAATCAAATTCAAATGTGTCAAATGAATCGTCAAACAGAACTGTCAAGGATCCCCACCCTAGAGAGCTTTTTCCGCCCACCATGCATGAATACATGGATAGCATTATGCTCCTTCCTTAGTCTTCTTATTCAAAGGGTTTCTCCCACCACAATGCCAATTATTTGGCTTTTTTTTTGCTCATATTCAAAGGCCTTAGAAACATAAACATGTAGAAAATTTTATGTGGATTCAGAATATTAGGTTTAGATACCTTGGATTTGTGAAAAAAATAATTTTTTGGAATCTCTGTTTTTGAGCTATTTTTGATGATGGTTAAAATGTCTCCATCATCCATTACTGTTCTCGTAAGACTACAACGTAGTAATAAAATAACAGTAGTTTTAACAAAATCGATGCAAAAATGCCCATTTTTGGCTATTTTTTATATACTGGACGTTTCTAGAAGTGCGACAAAAAATAATCTGACAAATAAAAAGAAATATATTGTTTAACTTGGGTTTTCCCAACAAAAAACAATAAAAATAGAATTATCTTTTTAAAAATTCACACCATGTCGCGTTCAACGAATTCCAACAGTGTACTCGAACAAAAAAACATTTATAACCATGTTATGTCCATTCAGACATGACACAAACGTAGAATATAAAGTTGAACCAAGTTCTCATGTCAATTCATAGAGGTTCTCTCTACTCTAATAATTGCATCAACTAAAAAAGCATTATAAGTATATTTTAATTGTTATAATTATCTTTTTCTTGTTTAGATTCTTGCTATATTATTATCTCTGTAGTCTTCGCAGCAACTGCAAGCTAAAAAACTAGAATAAAGGATCCAATTTTAAGTCTCGTTCCGAATTTGCCAGAATCCATTTCGGTTTGGGAATTGTTTCATTAAAGTCAGAGTGAAATTCCAGCCGTTGGAGACAATAAAAATGTAAATAAGTTCTGGGTTTTGCGGAATCAACGGTACAATTGCAGAAAGGGTTATTACACAAGCAATCAGAAGAAGAATGAAGCGTTTTTGTTAATTTAGACAGTTTTTTTACACAAAATACTAAAGAAAGTAATCCATTTTCGACATTTGTAAGAAATTTTATGTAGATTTAAAATATCTACACTTTTAGAATAAGCTTAGATACCTTGATTTTATAAGGAAAATAATTTTTTAAATCCTTGTTTTTGAGCTATTTTTGATGATTTAAAGGTTAAAATCTTCCCTACATCCATTAATGTTCTCTAAGAATATAGTGGTCTATATTTACTTATTCTACGTCTTTTAATTAGTAAATAAGATCGTTTTTAGCAAAACCGGTGGCACGACGAAGATTGCCAAATTTTATGACTGAAAAAATGCCAATTTTTAAATTCCAAACACACGTGCTTTGATTAAGGTTTGGTTTGCCATAAAATAGCGAACAATTTGTTACAAAACCATATAAATTATACAGGGTTGTTCACCACATACGACACGGAGTATTGTAGCTAAACGATGAGATTTTTACAAAGTGTAAGTATTGGGTTCGACGAAGGACTAAGATTTATTATACTTGAACCTTACCGTTTTTGAAATATTTTCAATTTTGTGAAATTGCAGTAAAAATGTTAAGGCTTCATTTCTCCAAGGATATCAAAGTTTTTAATACTAAATATTTACTGAAGTTTATTTACTGATCAGTTATTGTGTTGCAATAATAAAAATAATACTACCTTATACAGAGTGTCTAAAAATTTATTTTAAATAATTATTAGCTTCAAACGGCAATAACTTCTTTAATTTAAATGGAACACCCTATATATTTTACGAGAATCAGATGCACAATTTAATTGTCTATCAAATTATATTATACCATTTTTTACCTATCTCTTTAAGTTTCCGTAGAAAATGCATTTTCTTGTAATTTAGAACTTATTTATCAATATACCCATGGACTACTGACATTTTAGATTATTTTTAAAGATTTACCAAATTTTTAAAGAGTACAGATACTAATATTGTCGATATAATTGGCTTATTTCATTAAAAAATAAAAAAAACTGTAAATATTTGTTAAAGAGGACCAATTAATATGATTCCAGTATTCAAACTACATTAACTGACTGTTTGCGTTGATTAATAATAATTGCTCCAAATACTAAAAAACTGAATTTTGTATGGGCATTAGACAGTGTGATAAAAAGTAACACCTTAAAAATGATATTTCATTTTTTAATAAATGCTTATTTATAACAACAAAGACTTTAATTTGGTAACTTATTATTATATTGATTTCTGACTCAAAAATCCACATTTATTTATAATAATTTATTAACGAACACAATTAAGTATGTCATTAATTAGTATATGGGCGGAAATAATGGTGTTATATTTAATTAATGGTATACTCTTTTATAAAGATTTAAATAGTTTTTTCTGCATACAAATGGTTAGTAATATTATCGTTTTGCTAAAAACGATAATATTACTAGTCTGTACATTTTGTACATTTGTTGTTTTAAAACAATCTAAAATGTCAATATTCCATGGATATATTGATAAATGAGGTCTAAATTATAAGAAAATGCATTTTCTACGAAAACTTGAAGGGATAGGTAAAAAATGGTATAATACAATTTGATAGACAATTTAATTGTGCATCTGATTCTCCTAAAATATACAGGGCATTCCATTTAAATTAAAGAAGTTATTGCCGTTTGAAGCTAATAATTATTTAAAATAAATTTTTAGACACTCTGTATAAGGTAGTATTATTTTTATTATTGCAACACAATAATTGATCAATAAATAAACTTCATTAAAGATTTAGTATTAAAAACATTGATACCCTTGGAGAAATGAAGCTTTAAAATTTTTACTGCAATTTCACAAAATTGAAAATATTTCAAAAACGGTAAGGTTTAAGTATAATAAATCTTAATCAAATTTACCTTTCTTTTAATCGTAGAAACTAAAAATGTAATAATATACAGGGTGTTCCATTTAAAAAAATACAACTTTGATATTTTTTATTTATTTGGGACACTCTGTATCTTGTAAAACTATTTTTAAATTGTAGCTCTAATAGTCCTTCAACGAACCCCGAACTTACAATTTGTAAAAATTTGATCGTTTAGCTACAATACTCCGTGTCGTATGTGGTGAACAACCCTGTACATATATCACTGTAATCACAAAACTTCAATCTATTTCCGTATTGTAACGGAAATTGAAATTATGTCATTATTTTCGAGAAAATTTAGTCCAAATATAAGGAATATTTTGTTGATCAAAGACTTGAAAATCAAAATCTTAAAAATAAAGAAGCTGCCTAAAAATGTGCTGAAATACGGATATAGTATAATCGTTTATCTTTAATTTCCTTCTTCATTTGTGTAAAAATACCTAGTCAGTTTTACATAAAACGTTAAATGCCGAACGCTTATTTTGCTACTTCTTTGGACTACTGAAATGGACACTTAAATAATTAATAATACAAATGTTTTTCCCTTCTACAGACGATCTGATGGACATACTGTATATTAATTAGCTCTAAATCATCAGAAAAAGAAATAAATATAAAAAAATGATTTTATTTCGCCATAATCAGTTTTTATACGGCAAAATAACGAGTTCCTTAGGTCCCTTCCACACGGGAATTAATGGCCGGTGTCATCTGAACCCGCCATAACGATTTAACAACGGGCTAAATTGTTGTGATCTCGATCGGCAGGTTAGATGCAAATTAAACGATATTAAGGTGGGATTTAAATGTTAAGGAATTCGCTGACATGGAATTAAGTACCTCCTATACCTGTTCTGTACCATGTTTATGCGGAACGTACCAAGATTTTTGAAAAGTAGACTACTTCAAGTAGATAGTAATTTAGTTGTAGACAGGGTAGAACCAGTTAGCATCAAACTCTGGATAGTCTTTTCTGTTTG